ACACCACACACACACGCACACACACACACACACAACTCACACACACACACAACTCACACCACACACACACACACACACACAACTCACACACACACACACAACTCACACACACACACACACACAACTCACACACACACACACAACTCACACACACACACACACACACACACACACAACTCACACACACACACACACAAATATGGACAATGCTGAGACGCAAGCCACACGGGAATGGCACTGTACGAGGCCAGAGGATGGGGGTCCGATGAGAGGCCCAGCAAGGGCAAGCAGCGACAAGGAGAAGATCAACACAACGTCGACGCCTGGGATGGGGGCAAAGAACCCGAAGCAACAGAGCTCATCACCACTCGCATCGCTAGTAGCGCGAGCAGACCTAGCTGAAGGGAGCCGAGGAGAATAGGCGTAGCCGAGCCGATTCTGCGCACTGTGCTAAGGCGCCCTGCCCCACGAAAGAAAGAACGAAATAAAGAAAGAAGGAGAGAAAGAGAGACAGAAAGAAACAAGAAAGTAAAATGAAATAAGAGAAACAAAAGAAAAGAAATAGAATGAAATAAGATAAAAGAAAAAGGGCATGAGAGGGGGGGGGGATGAGGTGAGGGGAGGGGAGCAGATCCTGTTCGGAAAAGAGACAAGATGAGCAACAGAATGCGGTCATGTCAGAGCCAGAGCCGGCGTCCCCTGGGAAGGACAGGTTCCTCAAGGCCTGTGGTCGTGCTGTGGCGGGCGAGCTGCAGCCGGCGCTGCACGGAACAAACGAAACCAATCTCTCGTCCATCTACTCTCGAGGTCTACTAATCCCCGGTGACTCAGGAGTCAAGGTCGTGAATGGCTCGGTGCATGGCGTGGGAATCTACACAGCTTACACCCAAAGCGCAAGCCTCTCCTGGAGCTATGCCCGTGGCGCGTCTAGGCCTGTGTTGGTCTGCGGGGTTCTGGACCCCAAGGCGCGAAAGAACGGAGACTCGCGGCTGGTTACCTACACACACGCTGCGCGCATCTTCTTTAACGAGGACATGGTCTCACCTTTGTTCGAGGCATGCATTGGCGGTGGGGATGCCACTGCATGCATGGCAAGCACTGCGCCAAGACCCACTGTTGCAGCCAAGATCCGGCTCGAACCGGAACCAGCGAAGCCGAAAGGTCCTGGGCCGCGGACGCGGCTGGCGCGCACCCTTCCCCTGCGCACGACGCAGGCCTTCCTGGCCCGGCGCGCGGCGCGCAAGCGGCAGCCGTGAGCGCATCGCATCGCAATGTACAGTGTACAGCTTTCCTCCGTGGGCCGTGACTTCGTGGACGTCGTCCACACCGCTACCCTCAAATGTGATTTTGGAGTTGGTTTTCTCCTGATTTCAGGAAGCCCATACATTGGGCATTTGTGTACAGCATTTAGTATTCCCCGCGCTAGGACGCAAGTTGAAGTCTTCTCAAGAACTGGTGAGCCGACATAGGCACGGTCGACGTGCTGGCACTCGATGGCACGCCACTTCTTCTCTCCTGCAAAGGTGGAGCTCGACATTCGCCTCGGCCTGTCCTCCACTCTTCTGGCCCCTTTGAAGCACTTCAGAGTTCGTCCCGAGACCGTTAGCTCCTTCAAAGCCTCCAGCGAAAGAAGAGTGGCAGGAACTCCTTGCACATGGAGACAGCGCTTGGCCAAACTCACCCGTCTTCTTGCACTGTGCCTCGGCGCCCGACTATGAGGCCCTCCTGCGATCTCCCCCCCATTTGGGGGGTCCTGGCTCACCCCCGAAAGGCAGGCCTCCTCTAGCTGCAACTCAACGTGGAAAGGGTGGTTTCGCGACAATATGCTCCCTTTTGGGGTCCCCATTATACGGCAGCCCCCAATTTTGAGGAGTACGTTGTGAATCGGACTCTCCAACTCGGCCTGGCAGCTCAGGTGCCATGCATGCGGGCTACGCCGCCAATGGCCAGTCCTTGGAGTCGGTGGCTTACTGTCGCCGCAGCTGCGGTGTCTAAAGCCATCGTGGCAAGCAGAACAAGAGACGATGAGGGAGTGAACGAAAGCTCGTGTTTTTTCGGAGGGCTGCACCTAACACCTGAGGCCATTCCTGCTCTTGGAGGATGAGGTGCAAGCTGCGATCTCGACCCTGGACCCTAAACTGCACCCTCCTCCAGAACTGCCAAACCGCCAAAGAAGTTAAATCCTGAGCCCCCAAGCCTCCAAGACTCGCTGTAAGCCCTGTGTAAACGTCCCTCCTAAGCCCCGACCCCCGTAAAAGGTGGGTTGCTCGCAGCCGCTACCCCGCTGGCGGCTGCTGCAGTGGCTGCGACAGAGCCAGGACCAAGGCGCGTGCGGCACGTGCGGACGGAGGGGAGGTTGTTCTAACAAGATGTTCTAAACAAGGGTCCCGGTTTGGGAATCCTTTGTATCCGGAATGGCGATTTCTTTTTTTGCTCTGGATAGTCGCCTTGAACGATTCAATCAGTTTTTATGAAGATTCGGGCGGCGACCACTCTTGCAGGCCGTAAGAGCCCCCTGAGCGCGGTGTTCCTCAACTGCTGTGACTCTGAGGGCATCGCAGGCCAGGGCGTCTCTGAGTTGGGGATTGACGTTGATCTTTTCACGGTGTTGCCCTAAGGTTTAGTCGTTGTGAGAGGTTGGGCACGGGGTCTATAGGGTTCGGGCGAGCACATGCAATCGTGCGGCCGAGGCTGCTACTCACAGGTTCTTTCGTACAGCATGATGAACCACAAGCTCCAGATATCGTGAAGTTTCCGAGTAGGAGTAGTCTTCTTTAGATCTCGAGACCCCCGACCCACACCCCCCACCCCCGCCCCCCAAAAGAATTCAAAAGCAAAAGCCTAACCCCGGCCTTGGGATTATCAGGCGCTTTCATGGAGGCGGGCGTGCCGCACGTCATCTGCTGCCGCGGCCGCGTCTTCGATGGGGCCTGCAAGACCTTCACCAAGGCCTCAAATCAAGCTCTGTCGGAGTCGTTGCGGAGTTCCGTTTTTCCTTTGCGAACCTCGGCCCTGAACTGTAGAACCTTAACCATGCATCGTGTTTGGCAGGCATGGGTGTGCATGTATCATTCCTCATTGCTGCTGCATGCTATTTTGGCTCAAGTGTGACCCAAAACGGCAGGCAGCTGTTGATTTTGGGAGTGGGAGTGACCCGAAATTCTGTGAGAGTGACTCACTTTACTGAGAGAGTCTCAGTATTTCTTCTAGCAGGAGTGACCTGCTTGGGGCATGGAACATGAAGCTCCGCATACAGTCTGCGCCTTTCACACAGATTGCCAGGTACTTCACCCGGCAGCGGCCGCGGAGTTTCGGCGCCTCATCAACGAGAGAGCTTCGAGGGGTGACCTCCGGGATGCAGCTTTCTTGTGGGCTTCAGCAGTGGAAATCCAGCATTACCCACCTTTGGAAACCGATGTTCCACGAGTCCCCGAACTCCCAGGTTTGTTGCCGCCCGTCCGTCAAGTGCCATGCACGAGCATTCCTTGTGCTCGTTGTGATTGCAGCCGTGGAGGGTTCCAATTCCCATATGTTGCAGTCGAGTTCAATGCGGGCGTTCTGGTCAAGGATGGCCGTTCGGCGGCTGGAGCCTGGGAAGATTTTCACCGCTGCGGACACCGCTTGGGTATTGCAGAGGTTCTGTGCCTGCAATCAGGGCTTTTGGTGGAAGACATCTTGCCCCCCAATGCGGCCAAGCTTATCAAAGTTGTTCAAACACAGACCGGCCCTCGGGGAGCGACCCCGCGTGACCTTTGGCGGGCCTGGAGAAGTTGGCATGGAGGGCAGCGCAGGTGGAGGGACCCCTGCTGGGAGCCCGTTGCCAGTCGGGAAGAAGGCCGAGCCGACGAGATGGCAAGGAGCGGGAGATCTTTGTGGCATTGGCTCGGTGCAGTCGAGGCCGGATATTCGCCACTCTTCAGTCCATGTGCCTCGTGCGGTTTGCCAGCCCCTTTCTTGTGCAGGCGTTGTCAAGCTGTTGTCTGCAAAGACTGTATCTCCGAATGCCGGCTCTGCTCACAGTAAGTCCGAAGTAGCAGGAGCAGCCCTGGCAGCAGCGCTCGCCAGCCAGATGGCGGGCATTTATGCTCTCCAAGCAATGGAAGACCCTTCCGCCCAGGGAGAGACCCTGGGAGAGCCGGAGGCTGAGACGGTGGTGGACCGCATTGCTGCGCGGTCGGTCAGTCAGTACCGTGTGCGCTACGGGCTGGAAGATGACCTGGACTTCTCCTACGCCTTCACCAGCTGGGAAAAGGCGAGAGACGCCGGAGGGCATGCAGTCGCGGATGCGTGGGCAGAAGTCTGCAATGACCGCGAGGATGGCGCAGCCCTCGGCTTTGTGCACCAGGCAGTGGATGCGGCGGCAGCTCGACCCGCTGTGCGCGCGGCCGTAGTCAAGAAGCTCCAGCTGGGGCGTATGGCCAGATCCGTGAAGGAGCGTGCCGGGCAAAGAGCCTCTGATGCATCGGTGCCGGACAGCGAGGCAGCGAATGAGCTAGCGCAGTTCATGGAGGCAGCAGGGGCGCACGAGCCTGGAGATCGGACCGAGCGGCGCTCGGCAGACTGGAAGAACCTCCTCTCTTCCTTGGCGGAGCGCAAGGTGAAGGAGGCGGAGCGTGCGACAGTGGATGGCTGCCTTAGGTCCCTGCGTGAGCTCCTCCACTTTCAGTTGCTCCGAGGTCGAGCCGGTGGCCTGGCGGATGTGGACAAGATCGACCTCTTTGCCTTCCTGGAGCAAGGTACTAAGGCCCCCGTCCGTGCATTGAATGGGCTCAGGTGGTTCAGCAAGCACGCTTCCCTCGAATGGGAGCTGGCAGATTTGCAACCCTCGAGGCCAGTGCAAGCTGGGAAGGAGGGACCTTCCCAGGCAGCGGTGGCGGAGCCTATCATGCTGAGCGAGCTGGAGGCTCGGGTGGTGGATCTATGGCAGTTTGGCGATCCACGGTGGAATTGCCTCCTCGGCAACTGGATCATCTTCGCCGGTTGCGTGCGCCACAAGCACTTGGAGAGATCCGTGCCGATTTCGATCACCGGATCTACTGTGCACTTTTGGTGTCAGAAAGGAAAACAGGCTCACAACAGGAACGGCTTTGCCTGGGCGGTGCCATCGCACTTTATGTCAGGGTGGCCGTGGGCCGAGTACTGGTTGGATTCGTTCAAAGGGCTGCCGCCGAGCAAGCAGCTCAAGTGTGGCGTTTGCTTTGATGCCCACGGGAACCCGTGGGCAATCCACGAAGTCACCAAAATGGCCCAAGACGAATTCCTCGGGGTCGAACCCCCTGTCACCACTTACAGCTGGAGGAGAGTGGCGCCATCAGTGGGACTGCTGTTGCAGCTGGATGAGCAGTCTATGTTGTCGCTATCCGACTGGCAGGACCGTAGCAAGGTGCAAGGTTCGGCGGCGGCGATGCCACTGCACTATGCAGGCACCAAATATGGGTTGTCAGTGCGGAACAAGCACCTGATCTTGGCAACGGCTTCAAGATGCTTGGATTTTGCATCTTGGGACGCAGTTTCCCCGCAGCTTCTTGTCCAGGACGACCCGGCGTTGCGCAATACAGTGGCAGAGAAGGTGCGCTTGGATGGGGACACCGTCTGGCAGGCGCCTGCGAGCTTCCCAGGCCCTGTTCGGAAGAAGGCTTTCCAAACCACAGCACTCCACAACCGAAGGCAGATGAGGGCGGCTACCGCAGCGGGAGGGACCCGCAGCGCGGAGGCGGAGCCTACTATGCCAGCGCAAGCGAATGGCAGGGTGCTTTCAGCTTTCCTGAGGAACGGGAGCAGGTTGTGCCCGAACTTTCAGCTGGGCCGATGCAGGGACGATGGCTGCGTGCTGCAGCATCAGTGCGCCGCTGTCCTGCGGTCAAGTCGCGTGTGCGGAGGCAGACACGCAGGGAAGGACTGCCGCGACAAGCGGCGCATGAAGCCTGAGGATGTGCCACGCCCAGTCCCACCGCCCGCCAAGGCGCCTACGCTGCCAGCGCCGTCGGCCGCAGTTCGCTTGATTCCGGCCTCTGAAGGGCGGCGAGAAGAGCCGAGTTCGAGCGACAGGCGCGAGAGTCCATCGGCGAGCTCCAGCGGAGTTCCGGAGCCGCGGCATCCGCCGTCTGCGGCAGCCAGGAAGCGCAATGCAGCAGCCATGGAAGGCCTGGAAGAGGTTCCGGTGAAGCCTATGCCTCGGGTGCCCAAGGCGGAGATCAAGGTCAAGAAGGCGCCGGTTGGTTTCGCAGCGAAGTCAAGGCCGGCGCAGCCAGTGCGGCCGCCTCCAAAGGCCATGCCCCGTGCCAAGTCGGGGCCTGAAGCCGCAGGAGCCAAGCCGAAGAGCAGACCTGCATCGGTGAGGGACACCGATGAGAGCTTCTTCGATCGGCTGGCGGAGCGCAGCCTGGCTTTGGGAGACACGAGGGAGGCCTTGCAGATCCCGACCACCGTATACCAGAGTCGTGCAGGAGGTCGCTTGCTGTTGTCCGCCCTCCCAACGCAGGACAATCGGGCCAACTTTCCGGTGGTGGACCTCCAGGTCACAGCTATGGAGAAGTCAGCGCCGGCGAGGAAAGGCATCAACTTGCCCAACGCGTTGGTTCGCCAGTTCAATGTGACCTCGTCGTATGGGCGCGACGAGGCCTTCGCAGAGCTCTTCCCCCTCATCAAGCATACGCTGTGGGAGGGGCGGCACGTCTTGATACATTGCATTGCTGGGAGGCATCGGGGTGGATCCACAGCCGTGACTTGTAGGGCAATCTTGATGGGAGAGTCCCTTCGGGATGCCGAGGAGCATGTCAGGGCCCTCCGCGACATAGAGCTACACAAGGTTCGCTGGCAGAACCGGTCTATTGCGGAGTGGATGGAGAAGGCGGTGCGGAGGACCAATTTGGGAGCGGCGCCGCCGGTGCCGGTAGCCTACATTGCGTCCAGGAACTCGTTGCTCCACCTGGAGACTGAAGGGGGAGTGACCCTCTGTCAGCATCGCCAAGTTGCGGGCGCTCGCAGCTTAGTATCCCCGATGCGCACTTCGGACAAGTTCGAAGCCTTTGCATGGCAGAAAGAGCAGTGCAGAGGTTGTTTCAGTCTGGCCGGAGCCCGATGGCAGTCTCCATGATCGGGTGAACGGCCCAAAGTGTATTGCCCCCAATGAGCTAGCGTGACCTACGAATCAGAGCTTGCTGGCCTGCACATGTGTGCCTCAGTTTTGCGTCGGGCATAAGTCCTCGGATCGGCCCGTCGCCGCCTTGCCAGCTTTTCGTACTTTAGTCCCTGCGTCACGCGAGCATAGAAGAGAAAAGGTCGCGCATCTAGACAGCTTCTGTGATGCCTGCCAGAGCACGCCACACAGGGAATGCACTGCTGTTGTTTGCATGCTTGTTGTTTCCATGTGAGTATTGCACATGAGAGATTGCATGCATTGCGAGTGCGTGGCAGGCACCCGTGCTGTTTTTACATGTGGCATTTTGGCTTGGATGAGGTACATTCGAGCAAGCCGGGAGGGACCCGGCGAGCGTGCTCCAGGTGGGACCCGGAGAGAAGCTCATAGGGCGTAGGCCTCCAAGAGTGACTTGGTGATGGCCCAGTCTTTGGTCCCGCGTGACGGGGGAGATTTCAAGGCTGCCCTTGCCACTTTAGCTACCAACTTTAGTCTCTCATCTGAAGTCACAAAGCGCATTGAATCCGAGGGAGTGACCCATTTGGAAGAGTTGCGTTTTCTGTTTGACAATGAAGAGCATGTTGGTCGCTGGATTGCTAAGTTAAACTTAGGTGACGCCACTATCATTCAAACAGCCCGCATGCGTCGAGCATGGCAAGCAGTGCGCCTTTACTTTACCCAAGCCGAGCAGGACAGGTCCAAAGTTATGCTTGCTGACCTTGACTCGCTGTTGGAAGACGGGGAGCTTCGGAATGTCAAGCAATCCTTTTGGAGGCGGTATCGTTTGCGATTCCCTACCGAAGTACTCGCTTCTTTCGAGGGTATCACGTGAGATCGCCAAGCGCATGTTGTGCGTGTACCCCATCGGGAAGGTACGTAATCTGCAGTTCCAGCTCACCACCGTGCAGAAGAAGCGCAAGCTGGGAGACAACCTCTGGACCGAGGAGGTGGAGACAGAAGACATGGGAGTGCATGACGAGAACACCTACCTCGACAAGTTGCACACACTTCTGTTGGCATATGCCATGGCCGGAGTTGAGGCACTGCCGGGCGTGGACCTAACCAAGGAGTCGACCTTGGGTGCAGCGTCGGTTGAATTTGTGGGAGTGCCTCTGGACACGGTGCTGGCATATTACTACCGAGCGAAGAGGTGCACTTTGTCTTTGCCGCCAAGCCGTCGGCTGGCGTGGTTGCAGGCCAAAGATACCGAAGAGCGCAGCGAGTGGGTTACAAGATTCCACGAAAGCACAGACTCTCTGGGGTTGGTCATCAAGCAAGTCATGGAGGCGAGGGACGCCCATTGGACTGTGTCCAATCCAACCCCGGGCCATATAGTCCCGGAGCAGCCCGGGACAAGCACGGCGAACAAGGAGCAGCTGGTGAGCCCAGGCCAGTCCAAGTTTCGCGAAGGACCTACAGTGGCAGGGAAGAAGACAGCAGCCGTCTTGAAAGACGGAACGCGCCTATGCCCTGAGTTCCAGCGTGGAGCATGCAAAGCAGCAGCGGGCAAGTGCAGCAAAGGAGCCCACAGGTGCGGAGTCATTGTGCGGGCACAGCGAGCTTGTGGTTCGCCAGGCGATGGTGCGGCTGCATGCCGAGTTCCCGCAAAGCCATGAGGGGGCCCTGAGGGGGGTGAGGGGACACCCCCCTTAGGGGAGACAGATGACCCCCATAGGAAAGCAGCGGACGGCCAGCCAGTGGCAGTGGACCTTATGTGCGGTGGCAATGCACCGTTGACGAAGGCACTGTTATATTGTGGCTGGAAGTGTGCCCCAGTGGATTTGGTGCTCGACCCTGGCCACGATCTGGCGTCGGCTGAATGCCAGCCTTTGGTACAGCAAGCAGTGGATCAGGCATGCCTGGTTTTGGCAGCCATCGACTGCAGCACGAAGTCTAGAGTGAGGGAGATTCCTCGAGACACAGGGACACAGTCAGGAGCGCCGAGACCGCTCCGGAGCGAAGAACATCCCATGGGGCTTCCAGGGCTGGACATTCGGGCACAGCGCAGAGTGTCCCGAGACAACGTGGCCTGTAAGTTTGTCCTGGACTTGCAGCAGCAGGTGGTGGACCGCGGGGGGGGAGCCTTGCGCGAGAACCCTCGCAACAGCTTGCAGTGGCATTTGCCGCAAGAGAAAGCGATGTCAGCGTCGGGACAATGGTTCGACACCGACTACCACGCATGTTGCTTCATGGGGGCACGTCGCAAGGCGCAGCGCCTGCGGCACAATATCTGGGAGTTGACCCAGGGGCCGACGCTGCGGTGCCACCATACCCACGATCCAGCGGAATGGGAACCGTGGGCAGTTGGAGACCAAATCGTCTTTCCCGCAGCGTTGGAGGCCGAGTACACAGCCCCTTTGGCGTTCCACATCGCAGTCTCAGCAAGCTGGTGGGCGTGCAGAACCGGCTGGGCCAAGCTCCATGTGCCCCGCGGGCCAGCGGTGCAGACAGTTGGCCGTCGGGAACATTGGCTACAGTTGGATCCACGAGCACTGCGCGAGTGGGCTATGGCGCTGCTGGCTATTTCCCTGGGCCTCAGGCCACTCGACCCGGGGGAGGCGGCGCGCGTTCCGCGCCGAGTTGAGGTGCAGTCGGCTTTGCAGCCCGACAAAACCCTGCCAGCGGACCATGTGTATGTGGGAAGAGGGCATCATACCCACCGGCTGCCAGTCACACAGTGGGCTTGTCCGTTTGTTCCAGGCTTCAACTGTGGAGTGGATGACTGGCTCCCGCTTTTCACAGACCCACATGCGCAGCGAACTCAGGTCTCTCGAGGGTCGAGTGTTGGCCTGCGACTGTCCCCTGTCCCAAGCCTGCGAGGCGGATGTGCTGGCAGGCTTGGTGTTTCAGGAGGGGAAACCTCCGGATTGTGCGCAGGATGCGGCTGCAGGACGGCCGGGGCGCAGGCACAAGGGATCGCGACGGAGAGTCATCCTCGCGGCGGCAGCTGGAGCGTTGCCTACTCCAGTGGGGGCCGTCATCCCGTACTTGCACCAAGATGCCGTGACCGGCGCCTTCAAGTCCCTTTTCCCGCCAGACCTCCTCCAGGATTTCCACTTCCCCGTTGTGGAGGACCTCATCAACAGTCCTCCCTTCACCTCCTTTCCACAGTGGTGCCGGGCGCAGGAGCTGCCGTGGGACGGCCCTCTGCTACCACAAATGGTCAGTGCCCAGCAAAGGCAGTGGCAGCGGAATGCTGAGGGCCAGCAAGCAGGTGGGATGGCGCATAAAGCCGCCCTGCCTCCAGTCCTGCCTTTTGGGCTGCACCCTGACGAGCATTTCGATCTGGCCAGGGACCTAGCCCACTACCCTACCCCTTTCGAAGCCGAACCCGTTCTTGATCTCGACCTGCAATATGCTGCGGAGGTGACCGCAGCGGGGAGAGGGACTCTCCAGCGGTCGCGGCGGGTTGCCGTGGGGGCGCTTAGGGAGCTAAAGCGCAGGTGGGCAGGGGTAGACACCTGTCTGCGGCAGGGGCAGGAGCCAGGTGTCCGGCGTGTGACAGCCAGACGGGATGTCGGCTTTCTCGCCCTACTGTTGCTCCTGGTGTCGTGGGGGGACGTGTCGTTGCCCCAAGCTTTCATCGAAGGCATGTCAGCCGTGGGAACGGCCCCCTATTACGGAGTTTTCCCGTGGCAGGGTGCTAGGCAGATAGGCCGAGACGAAATCTTTCAGGATGTGGGAGCCCAGAACAGCCGCATCCAAGCCAGTTTAAGACCAGGAAAAGACGACGCTTTCCTCCTAGCCCAGAGCTTGAAGGATGCTCAAAACGGCTTCTGCTCAAAGCCACTGCAATACCCAGAGCTATTGAGAGCTGTCAAGGGAGAGAAGTTCCGTCTAATCCCCAGATGTGTAATTACGCAAAGTAGTGGCAAACAGCGAGTGATCGACAACGCCGATACCGGAGGCCAGTCAGAGCTTAGCTCAGACCCCAACAAGTTGGTCCTTTGCTCCCCGTTGAGGCCAGCTCAGCATGCGGCCGTTCTGTTGCGGCAGTTGTCTACCTCCGAGTTCGAGGAAGCCCAGCGAGTGGATGCGCTGGAAGGCGGGGGTGAGGACTGGCCCGACGCTTATCGCCACTGCCCCATGTCCCATCGGGCGAGTTTGGCGTGCGTTGTGGTGTGGTGGCATCAGGAATGGTGCCAGCCAGCATACCAGCTCTACTCTGGATTGCTGTTTGGCCTCCCGTTGGCTGTCACGAGTTTCAATCGCTACAGCCGTGCCGTCGAGGCACTGGGGCGCAGATTACTCGGAATCCTCGTCTCCCTGTATTTCGACGACTCACACTTGACAGACTGGCGGTCGTCTAAAGGGTCAGGGCAAGCAGCCTTTTCCGAGCTCAACACCATGTTGGGTTCCCCCTTTGCACCAGATAAAAGGCAAGCAATGGCTTCAGCAGGTACCTTTTTAGGCCTCGATTTTGACTTTTCCGAGGCATTGAGAAGTGGGCATGTCAAGTTCTTCGTTCGTGAGCGTCTGCTACAGAAGGTGCAGGATATGGTGACCACTAGCCTTTCGACCGGGTTGCTCTCTGCAGGCCAGGCATCCAAGCTGTATGGTACGTGCAACTTCTTGGAGCAGGGCATGTACGGAAGAGTAGGAGCCGGAGGCCTGCACTCTATCCGCGAGAGAGCGGATGAAACAAGTCGGGAGTTGACCCCGCCAATCCGGGCCAGTCTGCAGATGATCTTAGCAGTGCTGGCCGTGCGACCGGAGCGTGAATTCGAGCTTTTCCCTCGACCACTTCCAAGATTTCTTGCTGCGAGTGACGCAGCCGAAGACATACCTGGACAAGGGACGGGAGGCTTCCACATAGTTTGGTTGGATGAGCCGGAGAAGCGGGAGAGCTTTGCGGCTGTGGTCAACTCAGAGCTCTATGCCCTGTTCACGCCAGGTGAGCATAAGATCGCTCAGTTGGAATTGGCAATGGTTTTCTACGGGCTGGTAGTGCGTGCTGAATCCTTCAGGGGAAGGCGCGGCTACTGGTATATTGACAACGTGGCAGCACTTATGGCGCTCATCCGAGGCCGTTCCAGCTCGCCGGACCTTGAACGCCTAGCCCACCTCATACATGTGGCCTTGTTTACTCTTCAAACATCCATTTTCTGGGAATATGTGCCATCCAAAAGTAACTGGGCGGACGCGGTGAGCCGTGTAGGACTCTGCGATCCGTGGTTACACCAGAGGGGTTTTTCCCCTAATCTGGCTACCTTTCCCACAATTCTTTGGTCTCTACCATTCAGCGCAGTGTTGACAGTCTTCCGTTTCCTGTGAGAGTGCTTTGGGGATGAGAGTGCCTTGGGTGTTTCAAACCGCTAGGCGTTAGCGGTGAAGGAGAAGCAGGGAGGTGTTCCTCTGCATCCAAGCAACAAGTGTTGTTGCATCACCCACCTTTGGCCCCGGTGCCACGGAGCGATTTACCAAAGCACTATCCCGGAGTTGAACCGGGTTGCACAGGTGGAGACTGCAACGGAGTGCGAGGTGTTTGGAAAAGAGACCGAGGGCTCTGCAGGGCAGAGTGTAGTGAGTAGCACTGCAAGTAGGAATGTTAACCATGCATCGTGTTTGGCAGGCATGGGTGTGCATGTATCATTCCTCATTGCTGCTGCATGCTATTTTGGTTCGAGTGTGACCCAAAACGGCAGGCAGCTGTTGATTTTGCCCACCCACCCGCCCTGTTCGGACTCGGCCTCCGGTGGAGTCACCCAGTCCTTATGGGGTTGCGCACGTAGGTGCGACTCGTTTCGTGGTGTGGAACCGGGTGGTTCAATCCAATGGGGGTGTTTCAAACCGCTAGGCGTTAGCGGTGAAGGAGAAGCAGGGAGGTGTTCCTCTGCATCCAAGCAACAAGTGTTGTTGCATCACCCACCCTTGGCCCCGGTGCCACGGAGCGATTTACCAAAGCACTATCCCGGAGTTGAACCGGGTTGCACAGGTGGAGACTGCAACGGAGTGCGAGGTGTTTGGAAAAGAGACCGAGGGCTCTGCAGGGCAGAGTGTAGTGAGTAGCACTGCAAGTAGGAATGATAGAATGCTATTCCTGGGGTGTCTTTTTTTGGTTTTGGGAGAGGACTGAGGGGATGGGAGCCATGGACGTCCGACTACAGGGCCTCGAACCCTCTAAAACGGTTAAACCGTCGAGTTGCATAAACTCGGGTCACCCAAGCAGTTTTCGGCGCTTAGAATTTGAACTTTGAATCCTTTGAATTTGCTTACAGCACCCAAACGGACATTAACTTGGAAATGTCGCCCCATGTGCAACCAAAGAAGTGTACCAAAGACACTGTCAGGCCTTCTACCGAGCTTTGGCAGCAGGTCGCCAGGCTGGCCCGCCCCCCCCCCCCCCCCCCCCCCCCCCCCCCCCCCCCCCCCCCCCCCCCCGCCGGTGTTTCGGTACATGAGCATGGGAGTTCCCGAATGCCGTTTTGGGAAGGTACCTGCGGCAAGAGGGCATTTTAGGGGAAGGGATCTTGCAACCGCCTCAGGCGTTGCAACCGGAGGTCAGCATATTTGGGGCGAAAGATCGCCCCACAGCGCAGCTCTTGCCATCTCTGGGCCCGCCATTTAAGCCTCTGAGAGGGAACTTTTCAGACCATCACTCGAATGCAAACTTTTTGCATCTGGCAACCCTTCTTGGTAGCGAGCCGCAGCAGGTTTTCTCTTCATTTGAGTACGCGCGGGAGAGTGTCGCTTGTGCGCCGCAGGTGCCGCTCCTAGAAACCCCTGACGCTGTGAGAATTGAGAATCTTGTTCGTTGCAGCAGCTTTAGCACTGTAGCTGTCCCAGAATCTGCTGGTCAGAATCGCAAAATGAAGCTGGCTGTTCGTGCTCCCTCCCGTGTCTGAGGCGGGTCTGCGTGCGGAAGCAGCGAAGTTCTTGCTGTTGCCAAGGCTGGCATACAGCAGGGTCACTGTCAACAAGCCTTGTGGTTCATTTTCAGGTCACTACCAGACAAGAGACATGCCATGCGATACCCCAAGCCCCAAGCCCCTAAACCGAACCAGGCAAGAGGATGTACTCCGCTTCCCTGGTCTGTCCGTGGCCCCCATGGCACGCGCCATGACTTAACAGAGTCGGGTAGACTCTGGTGGCTTGCCGGCCCGTCCTTCAGCCTCAACGGGTTCCACAGTTGAATTCCGACGTGCCCTCCAAAACCATAACATGAACCTCCTGAACCCAAACCCGGTCAACAATGAACCCAAGGCTGAAGGCCTACAATGAAGCGCTACACGCGATGTCCTACAGCTCATAAGCAGGCCGAGTCCCGAAACCTAACCGAAATACTCTAAAGCACCCCCCCCCCCCCCCCAAAAAAAAAAGGAAAAGGTTCCGAAATCGGTGGATATTAGTATAATGCGGCCCTGTTACCTCCGAAACAGGTCTTGTTTTGTTTAGAGAGCTGAGCTGACTCCCGACCTGCAAAGAGCCAGCAAGTATCCGCCAAGGGCACTACGGCGCCACCCTGCACCTTCTGACAACCCGGGCGGGACGTGTGGGGAGTGGGGCGGGGGATGGAGAACTGAGGGTTCGAGGGTTGTCGGATTTGGAGGTCATTATCATACGGGATTTTTATCAAGCATCCCTGCGTCTACATCGAGGAAGACATAGGCATCTAGGCTCTGAATCCTTTCCAAGCTCCCCACTGTCATCTAAACCCTAATGGCCTAAACCCTAGCCCCTCCCAGGGCAACTCCGCCTCCGGTTCTGAAAGCCTTCTAAGTCCCCCCCCCCCCCCATGAAGCCTCAAAAAGCCCTCTGGATGGTAAATCAAGTGCCTCTCGCAGGTTTTGGATGGCCGGCAAGTGGGCAATGCGATCTCGGCGCTCCAGGCAGCGGCAGCATGCCAGATTTTGGGGGCCTTCCTTGCATGATGCATGGCATGTTGTGTATGTGTTTGTGTTTGTGTTTGTGTTTGCGTTTGCGGTTGTGCTTGTGTTTGCGTTTGCGTTGGTGTTTGTTCTGGTTATTGTGTGTGTGTGTGTGTGTGTGTGTGTGTGAGTTTGTTGTTGTGCTTTTGTGTTTATGTGTTATGCTACGTTGTGTGATGTCATGTAACAAGTACAGTATGTGTCTTTCTATATTACTTTTTTATGTCATACATGCTATGCTATGGAGTGCTAGCTTACGCAGTCGTCTGTGGTGTTATGTTGAAGTCTGTTATGATATGATACGGTGTGTTATGGCATGTTATGTTATGATACGTTATGTTACAGCTACCTATTGCTTTGCTATGTTATGCTATGTCATCTTATCTGGTCTCATCGCATGTCTTATCACATTCTGTCATGCTTGTTTGCACTACTACATAAGCATTACATTATCTTATCTTAGGGTTTGGGGTTTAGGGTTTACGGTTTAGGGTGTAGGGTGTAGGGTTTGCTGTGTCCTGGCATGCTGAAACCTTTCCTTCCCTGGCCAGTGGATGGGCGCCGGAGGGGGCGAGTCGTCCAAGAGCGTGCTGCCAGGAAGAAGCACGGGTGTTTTGATCTCTTGCAGCTGCAGTTTGGAGTTTAGGGTTTAGGGTTTTAGGGTTTAGGGTTTAGGCGTAGGGGTCAGGGTCCACCTTCACAGGAATGCCCTACAGAGGTGCGACGAGCGGTACATATATCTCCCCCTGGCCAAGCTTGAAGGGGCTGAAGTGGGAAGAGGGGACCGCTGGGAGTTATTGGCAATGCGACATGCGCAGGACGTCATCAACACTTCCTAGGGCGGGCACAAGAGATGGCCGCTCGCCTTCAAGTCTTCGCCACGAGGGAAGAAGTAGGGGATGCTGCGGAGGACTCGTGGATTGTCAACTAAAAAGGAGTAGAAGGCACTCGTGACGTTCACCAATCCTCGCGGCCGCAAGTTTCAATGAAGACACGATGTCTGCAGGTTTTGCGGCAATGTTGAGTTTGGCACACATGAAGCCTGTCATTTCCACCCGAACGCCTAAACCCCAAACTCTGAACTCTAAACCCTGAACCCTAAACCCTTTCAACGCCTTTCATTCGTCCAGGTGGAGATGGCGAGGCACCTCAGCCGTGGCGGCGAGCGGCACGCTCGCGTCGTCAACGTCTGGGGCAAGGCCTCATCTGGACACACCCCAAGCCCCCTAAACCCCTTTAAACCCTGAATCCTAACGTTTAGGGCCTAAACCCCTACTTCCCCAAACCCTAAATCGAGAGGCTTGCTAAGATGGCTCAACGTGACACCAGGCTCCGGGGCTTGGCAAGACTGCGATGCTGGCGGAGTTCACCCGCTTCTGCAACTATCCAGGAATCCTGTCTCCCATATGAGGGCTTGCTCTTAAACCCGAAGCCCTAACCCCTAAACCCCTGAACCCAAAACCCTTAACCCTTAAACCCTGGTCGCAAAGGGGTCTCGCAATATGCGGGTTGATCTACAGTATGTACCCCTGTTTTGGGGGGTCATGTCATGCCCCCCAAGATAGTTTCGAAACTAGGGGTACCCCCTATACATACCCCAAGATACTGCATTATCCTTTTACAGGAACTCCAAAGAGGGCACAATCTTCTTTCGGAAGCCGCCCAAAATGGGCCGATTCTTTAGGCCCTGAGCCATCCAGAGGTCGGCTCTTCGAAGGTGCTTCCATCTGGGTTACGCTGGAGTCGCCGACGGAGACGCTGTCAGGAGACCCGTTTCTGGCCTTTAAGGTTAAGGGGTAGGGTTTAGGGTTTCTCTTCAGTGTTGTGTCGGGGCTTGGTGATTTTTTTGGTGGGGGGGCTTAAGCCCTAAACCCTAAACCCTATAAACCCTTAAGCCCTAAACCCTTCCTCCTCCGCCCACAGCAGGACCTCTGACCCTGGAGCGGGCCACTAGTGGGGCATCGAACTCGGAGCGTGGGCACCTCTTCCTGGAGCAGGCCGAGCGTAGGGTTTGCAGCTTGGGTTTTCACTGAGAGCTTAGGTTTGAGGGTTCTTAGGCTGAGCCTCAAGCTCGTAGCAGACATGATCGGGGGGGGGGGAGGGCTGAAGGGCAAGAAAGCTTCGAGCTTGGGCCAAAGCCCCCAATTCCTAAACCCGAAAGCCGAAAGCCTTTGTTCAGCGCGGGTGTGCCCGAAGGTCTCCGCAGCTGTGTAGCGCGGCCGCAGCTCCAGGGGGGGGGGGGCTTAGGATGGAACCTATCTGGGGAGAACGATGCCGTTTTAGAGCAGGGTTTTGGCTGTGTGTCTCTTGGTTTGCATTTTGTGGTGGGTTTCAGGGGTGTTTTGAGCTGAAAATGTAGGTGTTTAGGACCCTGCTACGTTCAAAGGACGAACTTCATGGAGCAAGTCTATGGGCGGAAGCAGCTCGGCGGAAAGCGGCGCCTCTCTTCGGCCTAAAACTGTCGAGTGTGGTATCGACCCTGTAAACCTCATAAACCCTACAAGTCCGACGAAATCTGTAAAGTCCACAAACCCGATAAGCCCTACGAATCCCAGATCTTAGGGTGTTACAGGGCTTGGAGCAAGTAAAAGGGGCAACATCCCAACCCGTTTCAACCCTAAGGTCACACTTCGAGAACTTGCGTGAGGCGCTTCTGTGGGCCCTGAGAAGGCAAGCAGCCCCATGCGGAAGCTCGTTTGTGGGTTTCGGGTTTAGGGTTTCGGGTTTTGGGGGGTTTTAGGGTTTAGGGTTTGGGGTTTGGGGTTTAGGGTTTGTGGGTTTTTGGTTACGAGTTAAGGGTTTGGGGGTTTAGGGGTTTGCGGTTCTGTACTGCAGGAAACCTTGAGAACCCTCAAGCCCTCCGTCAGGTTAGACTGCCAGGGTCGAACGCTTCTGGTGCTCGCCGCTCCGGCAGATCAGGAGTTTGGCGGCTCCTGTGGGGTATTTTGGGGCTCAGGACTTGCACGCTGAGAGCCCTCAACCCTATAAACTCTAAACCCTAAACCCCAAAAACCCGAGACCATATAAACCATCTAAACCCTCTAAACCCGAAGCCATCTCAACCCTGAACCCCACAAGAAGCTCTCAGCTCGAAAAGCGTGGCACAAGCTCACGCCGCGGGTCTCCTAAGCGAGCCGTGTCCCACATCTTCAACAGGAGTCTATATGGTTTTTCAGTTCAATGGCTTATAGGGACTTGAGGGTTTCGAGTTGAAGGTCGCCCCAAGTTCGTGGATCCACTTGCCCTATTTTTGGGCACCTAAGGGGCTCACAAGTGGTTATACGATTTTATACGTACAGTGGTAATTGGTTAGTAAGCACCATGAGCCTCCAAGCAGAGCCTCGACTCAGAGCCAAGTCTCCTGGGCTCAGAGCCGAGGATGGCATCGAGGATTGGGTGGACAGCTCCGCCGTCAGGAGCCTTGTTGTGATGGGGAGACTCCTATGTTTCGCGTGCCCACCCCTAAGCTCTCCTGGTCCCCGAAGCGCGAATACAACCAACAAGACTGGCGGAAGGCGTCTCTAAATCCGCATAACGGCATAACCCCTCCCCCCACAAAGTAGGCAGTCTGGGAGAAAGGAAAGAGAGAGCTCAAGAACCTCTGACCACAGTAGCAGCTAAACCCTAAACCCTTAACCCCTAAACCCTAAACCCTAAACCCTAAAACCCTAAACCCTAAACCCTAAACCCCTAAACCCTAAAACCCCAAATCCGCCACGCAGGGCGCTCCTGGCGGACATGCTGCAAGCCACGGAGCGGCTCTGCCTCCTCTTTGGCAGTCGCATCCACGCACCTTGGGACCATGCTGGGTTTGTTGGGTCTTAGGCTTCCGATGCCATTCTAGAAAAGAGGGCCACTTGCCCAGCTACTACTGGGAACAGAATCTTTCAGTTGTGAGCCTATAGCTGCCACAATCTACTGTAGGTTGAGGGCCTGCTTACTTTAGAGAGTCCTGAGCAGGAAGTATTTTTTGCCCAGGTGCAGAACTCCTTCGCCGGCTTGAAGACGGACAACCTCGAGCTGCGGCCCCTGCAGCCGCGCGACGCCGCGCAGCTCTTCCTCTTCCGTGGCCTGGCTTGGGGTTTGGGGTTAGCTGCTATGTGCTTCAGAAACCCCCCCCCTCAGAAAATGGGAAAGATTTCTTCCTTATTTTAAGGGGCTGCGCCCATGGGCGGGCAGCGCACGCAGAAGCCCGGGGCGAGCAGTTTCTAAGCATGTTGAGGCCCCTAAACTCCCTTAAAATCTCTAAGCGTTAAGTTTCTAAGCATTTTCAGGCCCCTAAACTCCCTTCAAATCTCTAAGCGTTTGAGGCTCCGAGACTCCCTTAACGTTTCTAAGCACTTTATAAGGCCCCTAAACTCCCTTTTTCCTAGCCCCGGGCTTAGACACGTCGCTTATGCCCGCCCTTTGGGGGGCATCATACTCCTGATGCCCCCCCGCGGTCCCGCCCCGGGAGCCGCTGATGCTCCTGATGCGCGCCTGGGGGTCCCGGGCTGGACCCGCTGATGCTCATGATGCGCGCCCTCTGGGGGCCTCCGTGGCGACGCAAAAAACCACGAAAAAAAAACCGTTCACCGGCGGCACGCGGGGGTCGGCGGCACTGGCGTCCGGCCTAATTCTGCTTCGCAGAAGGCCAGAGGCCAGCAAGGCTATTCCCGGGACGACCCGGGCTAAAAGGTCCGCATTTGCTCGGTCCTTTGGGGACCTCGCGCTGCCCGATTTAATGGCTACCGCCAGTGCCGCCGACCCCAGACCCAAGACAGTCGCATTGGGGCGGAAGGCAGGGTGGAGCGGGCAGGCGGGGGGGGCGGGGGCGGGGGGGGTGGGGGTGGGTGGGGGTGGAAAGGGGGGCGGCGGGGGTGGGGGGTGTGGGGTGACGGTAGAGGGTTGGTGTCGGATTAGGGAGTTGGGGGTGGAAGGAGGGGCATAGAGATGAAGAAGCGATGAGAGCGGTGAGAGCGGGGGGGCGGTAAGGATGAGGGCTGGGGAGGGTTGGTGGGAGGGTTAGGGAGTGGGAGTGGGAGAGGGTGGGGGCGGCTGGCGGAAAGGACTCATTTGACCAGCTCTGGTAAAAGGGGCGGAAGGCAGGGTGGAGCGCGGCGGGTGGACAGGGGAGGTGACGGTCGAGGGTTGGTGGAGTTGGGGGCGGAAGGCAGGGGAGTGATGAGAGCGGGGAGGCGGTTAGGGCGGGCGTGGATTGGAATCCCTCAAACTAGAGATTTGTCAGGGGCGGAGTAGGGGGTCGGGGCCTAGGAGGAAGGGATGGGGGGGGTGGGGGTGGGGGGGGGTGGGGCTTCAGAGTCGAGGCAGTGGGTGGGGGGGTGGGGGGGGGTGGGGGGGGGGGGGTGGGGGGGGGGGGGGGGTGGGGGGGGGGGGGAAGGGCGTGAGGGCAGTCAGGGAAAACACTGGAGATTGGTCCGGGGCGGAGTGGGGGGTAGGGGCGAGGCCTAGAGGAGGTGGGGGGGGGGTGGGGGGGGTTGGGGGGCGGTGGGTGGGGGGGGGTGGGGTGGGGGGGGGGTGGGAGGGGGGGGTTGGGGGGGTGCGGGTGCGGGGGGGGGGGTGGTCGGGCATGGTGAGGGCGGTGGGGGGTCTTCACTGACGCCGCCCTGCTACCGCTGGGGTCGGCGGATAAGGGCAGTATAGGTTTTTTTTTGGGGTTCTTAATCAAATGGCAGTTTAGGGTTTGGTGCCGTTCGGGGCAAGGGGGGGGGATCATCATTACTATTTCAATTGCTTGCAGATGACAAGTCTTCAGTTGATGGATGCAACCTTAATTTCTACTTCAGAGACTGCATTAGGCTATGTGCAAGTCGTGATTCAGCGTCGACGTTTTCTCAGGCTTGTGCATGACAAATGGTAGGCAGCCGCATTCGCTCTGCAGAAGAGATTCGTTGTGCTTCCGTCGAAGTCCAATTGCTTCGTTCTGAGGAGTGCACCGCCATCTCTACTGGAAGGCGAGTGTGTGCCAAGTCGTAGAAAAGCAGTTTCCGCAGGGTTGAACGTTTGAAGACACATGTCTGCGCCAATGGGGTCATCCTCTGTTCACCTTTGCAGCTTCTGGCTTCGGCAGGATATATGGAAGAACAAGGAGGTGTGGATGAGCAAAGCCAAGAATTGGTACGGGGACGAGGTCTACAGCAAGGCCCTGCCTCGTGTGCTCCAATCGCGCGCGCTTTCCACCTCAGCTCGACATCCGGTCAGGTTGCGGACCGGTCGCAGCTGGAAACTGGCGAAGTTCCCATCGCCCTTCAGCGCGAGAACCGGGATGAGGCAAAGTTGGGGTACAAAGCGGGGTTTTGGTGAAGCTGCACAGAATGGCACAGAATGTTCTAGGCTTCAGGCGATCATGTGCGTCAGCTGACTGTAAACCCTACGTGGCAAGCGCTAGGCAGAGTCATCATGCCGTCTAGGTGCTCGACGAACTGGCTGCCATGCCGTTGCTCTCGGAGTTCTGCCAAGGCTCTGGAGCAGCTAAGCAAATCGTACTGGGAATGAGATCCGTGATGAAGAGACACACCAAATCCGCAAGAAAGGAAGTCACGACAATCCCAAGCCCAGTGCCGAACGTCCCTGCCAGGAATCCCCTTGAGGATCCAGCAGACGGCAGAGCGAGTCTTTCGTCTGGACTTGAGCTGTGCTGAACTAGGCTTCCTCCCTGGTTCAGAATTTTGGGTGTTTAACACTTTGACCCAGAACTTACCATATAGCCATATGCCTGTTCCTGTTGGGGCTCCTTGCTTTCGGGGATGCGCTCGTGAGCAGTCAAAATTGGGAACACACCCATTTAGCGTCTGGCACGTTGGATTCACACTATCATGGCCTAAACCCTATAGAAGCTTGAAGTACCTGAGCCTTAAGCCCTAAACCTTTTCAAAATCTGGAACGCCTGAACCTGCGGCCCAAGTTCTGCGGCTTTTTTGTGCGCTCTCCGAGCCTCCGACATCTGCGCCCAGTGTCTCCAGCCTCGAGGACTTCCAGCGATGACCTCGGCCGAGAAGACGCGTGTGGCGCTCGTGGGCTTGGGCCGTGCCGGGCACTTCCACCTGCAGTCCGTGGTGCAGCTGCCTCACATGGTGCAGCTGGCTTGGGTTGTGGACATCGACGAGGACAAGGCCCAGCGAATCGCCACAGAACAAGGGTGCCGCTGGTCCACCCAGCTGACTGAGGCGCTCCCAGACGTGGATGCAGTGATCATCGCCTCTGCGACGGACACGCACTTCCCCTACATCATGGAGTCCCTGCGTGCCGACAAGGCCGTCTTGGCCGAGAAGCCCATCTCCCACGAGCTGCACGAGGTGATCGAGGCCGTGGAGCTGGCCAAGCATCGGAACCTCCCCTTCGTCTGCGGCTACCAGCGCCGAGCGGATCGGCACTTCCGCGCGCTGAAGCAGCAGTTGGATGCTGGGGCGGTCGGGAAGATGAAGGTGGTGAAGACCTGCAGCCGCGACAACCCGCTGCCCCCGTTGGAGTACCTTCGTACCAGTGGCGGCATCTTCCACGACATGCTGATTCACGACTTCGACATGCTGGACTTCCTGAGCAATGGCGAGCAGCCAGAGTCAGTCACGGCCATTGGACACTGCTACAACTCAGAGATCCAGAAAATGAACGACATCGACACGTGTGCGGTCATGTTCAAGTATGCCAACGGTATGATGGCCATGGTTGACACCAGCCGTGATGCCTCGTATGGCTACGACCAGCGCATCGAAGTCTTCGGAGAGAAGGGGATGCTCACAGCCCACAACGAGCTCACGAGCACTGTCGAGCTGGCCACGGGTGCCGGGCACTTGCGGCCCCCGGCCATGTACAGCTTCCCGCAACGCTACCTGCAGGCCTACCGTTCCGAGCTCACGGAGTTCATCGAGCTGGTGCGCGCTGGCCGCAGCAGCGAGGCCCACGCCAAGGAGCAGGTGGCCATGCTGCGGCACCCGGGCGTGGTCCGCGCAACCATGGCTGCCGAACTTTCGTGGAAGCTCGGGCGCACGGTGCAGCTGGCAGAAGTGGAAGTTTCCCAGCCTGAGGCCACGGAGACCACGGAGGGTTCGGAGGCCAAGAACATGTTCGGCGACAGCTTCCGCAACTACGCGAATTCCCAGCGGCAAGAGAAGGTCGCGGCCACATACGGCCTCATGCACCAGAATCAAACAGTGGAGTTTGTGCAGGAGCAGCGCGAGAAGTGGCTGAAGTTCAACAAAGGTGAGTTCACGGTCATGGAGGTGATCGCCATGCTGGACGAGCTAGTGGACGACTCGGACCCGGATGTGGACATCCCGAACAGCATCCATGACTTCCAGACTGCCGAACGCATTCGCGAGCAGTGGCCTGGGGAGGAGTTTGACTGGTTCCACCTTGTTGGCCTTTTGCATGATCTGGGCAAAGTCATGGCACTGCCGAAGATGGCGGGCAAGGATACTCTGCCACAGTGGGCCGTGGTGGGCGACACCTTCCCCGTCGGCTGCGCCCCTGCGGAGGATGCCATCGTCTTCCCGGAGGCCTTCCGTGAGAATCCGGACTACCACCACCCTCTCTTCAGTACAAAGAACGGCATCTATCATCCCGGTTGTGGCATCACTAAGCTGATGTTCTCCTGGGGCCATGATGAGTACATGTACCAGATGCTGAAGTTCAATGGCTGCACCATTCCCGAGCACGGCCTCAACATGATCCGCCTCCACTCTTTGTACCCGTGGCACGACAAGGGGGCCTACAGCCACCTTGAAAGCCCGGAGGACGCAGAGACGAAGAAGTGGGTGAAGGAGTTCAACAAGTTCGACCTCTACTCCAAGGCCGATGCGGTGCCGGATGTAGAGAAGCTCAAGCCGTACTACGCCTCCCTGTTGAAGAAGTACAACCTCGATGGCAAGCTCCAGTGGTGAGCGAGCCTTTGATGTCGCCACCATTTGTCGTTGGGAGGCTCGAGGTCGCTTCCACATGTGTGGCCGTGCAGCCTCCTTTCGGGGGATACCCTATATCCCCCTTGGGAATTATTATTTTTGTTTTTGTTTATATAAAACCCAAGAGGATATTAAACATATTATGTTGATTAAGGTTCTAAGGGGAGTATAGTACCTGCGCTGTTCGTCACATCTTAAGGGCTTCGAGCCCGTGGTCTTCTTATTTTGCGGGGGGGGCGGGTCAGGAGGCACCTGCCACTGCTCCTAAAGCTTGCCTTTCTCATTTGCTTTTGCAGAGGGGACGCTGTGACTGAGTCTCCCTTGAAGAGTTGCATGCAGCCTGCATGAAGTTTGGTGAAATTCAGAATTTGTGCGACAGAAGACGATTGACCGGCTTGCCGCCCGCAAGACTCTTGCGGTCGCATGGCGGCCTGGTCCCCTTTCTGGCGCTTGCACCAAAATTCGCATGCTTGTAATTCGTAGCGACCATACAGCACCATGCATCCGACGCAATCACTCCACATTTCAGGTGAAGCTGAGTGTCAGGATGCCAATGATGTGAGTCTCAAAGTGGTTCCGCCCATTGCAGGAAAACCCGCGCATCTACAGAGCATGTCAATCGCTTAACTAAATATGATAGAAGCTGTATATGGTCATAACCAGTTACAGACTAGTACGGGAGCCTAAGGCGTTTTGGAGTTTTGTGTGTTATTTAGGATTTGGGTCCAGGCCTCGGGTGGACAATCTCCTCCAACAAAGACCTTGCAAGCCTTGAGCCCGACATTTCTAGACCCCCGTCCGGCCCCCGTTCCCTGAAGTACTGCTACCAGCCCAACAAGCATCCTGAACACACTGCAACCTGCAGGACATTGAGCACCCTAAACAGAAAACTCTCAAGCTGTCTTCAAGCCTGCTCAGCATGAACAAAGGTCACCTCCACACTGGGCTGCCTCTGGGACCTGCACGCGCAGCTGCGATCGGATCGCGACCGTGGCCGCGCCGAGATCCAGTGCCTAGTCTCGGGGAGTGCGAGGGTTTGTTCTGGAGGGTCGGGGGGATGTACTACTTTAAGGTTCAGGGTGTCGGTAGCAGGAATTTAAAGGGGTTAAGAACTTTGGGTTGTTCAGGTTTCTGGGGATGTTTACAGGACTGCTAGCAAGGGTTGTTGTTGGGGTTTGGAGGTAGCGTTGGCTCAGTCGTGTGGGTTCGGGGAGCTCGGCTTCGCAGGAAGTCAGAACTCAAATGCTCAATTCGGCAGCTTCACATGGGGACCGAGTTGAGAGCGGCTGTTCTGGCAAGTGCAATAAGTTCATTGTAGCAGTGACGTGAAGAAAGATATATATATATATATATATATTGATTGTATATATATATATATATATATGTGGCTGTTCGAGGGTCTCGGATGTGATCCAGGGGTGCCAGGCTGACCTTACGCGCTTTGCCGCTGGAAGTCGGTTTGCATGGCATTCTGTCTGCAGGCAGCGATTGCTGGCCAAGAAGGCAACGATGAGGCGAACCTGTAGAGAAGCCTTGTCCTGCTCCAGCTTGTCGATTCGGTGTTGGCCTTCAGCTGTTTTCAAATGGGGGTTACGATAATAGGGGCACCTTCTTGGGGGTCCTGAAAAGGGAATCCGGTCTACTTTAGGGTTCCCCTATTTTCGTAAACCGCCAAATGTGACAGTGCTTGCAGGGACTTGGGCAGTCTTGCACAACTCGAGGCCAGGCGCACGTCAAATTGGCAGTGCCTGGCAGCTCGGCAAGGCCCGAGGAATGGCCATGACGTTGGTTTAGGGTTTAGGGTTTAGGGTTTCGGGGTGGGGATGTTCCCCCTTATACTAACAGTCCTTCATAGGGATTCTCGTGCCCCCTATTAGAATCCCCATTAAGGACTGTCAGTATAAGGGGGAGCATCCCAAAATTTAGGCTTTTGGGTTAAACTCGTGACTTAGAATCCCTGGTTCTTAGTAGGGAATGAGGGGAATGAGGGCCCGATATATACCTTTTAAGGGTAAGCCCTCGTTCCCTACTAAGGCCCAGCCAGTAGATTGCGAGGGTCGGCCAGGTGATTGGCCAGGGAGCTCATGGAGTGGTCTATCACGCGCTGGACTCCGCATCAGGCCGCAGCCAGGGTTGAAGAGCTGGAAGCTTACCGACTGTCATGGAACCCTAAACCCTAAACCCTAAGCCCTAAACCCTAAACCCTAAACCCTAAACCCGAAACCCTAAACCCTGCATCAGCTGCTGTTGTAGGCGAGTCCTTCGCCGTGAAAGTCATGGAGGAGTCCCGGGAGCTTCACCAAGAGCTTGAGATGCTCCAGCGCCTCGGGATTTCAGGGCTTTTTGGGCTCAGGGTTGAGGGTTTTTAGGGGTTTTTGGGGATTTTGTTTCGGGTGTTTAGGGGTTTTGGGGATTTTTAGGGTCTTTAGGGTTTCTTGGGGGGGTTGAGGGGTTTTTGGGGTTCAGGGTTTAAGGTTGGGTTCCAAGAAAAGGCAGGGCTTAAGGGGGTTCAGGATGTATACGGCTTAGGGTTCAACGCACAAGGTTGTGGCAAAGGAGGCGTTAGGACACTTTAGGGTTTATGGTTTCATTTTATGTGATTTATTTCCGTTTTTAAAGGGAGGGAGTCAGAGCATAGGGTTCAGAGGACGAGAGGGATGTCTGAGTTTCAGTCTGTATGGCTGCTGGGGCTTCAACGATCTGAAAAGTGCAAGCCTGGTTCTTAGGACAGGACTGCTTTGGGGGCTGATGCAATTTACAAAAAAAAGGGGCCCAAGTTATGCACCTTCATCAAGGGAGCGGATGCGGAGAGCTTTTTTGCAGTTCCTGCATTCCTGCAACATGTATTGGAGAACGAGGCCCTTACAGCAAGGACTCGGGAAAGGACCTCTGTTTTTGGAAAGCTTCAAGCCTTCAGGGATTCGAGAATAATTATCGTCCACCGCCCCTCCCCAGCCCCGTACCCGAGACCCCCCCAAAAGCACACAACTACAGGTCGCTGGAGCATGAGCACATCGTGCGGGGCTCAGATGGAAAATGCCAGCGGGCGTTGGTGAATGCTGAAGTGACAGTTCATTCTACAAGCAGCATGTTCATGGTCCCCATTATCCCAAGGAGCTCTGCATGGTTGCGCGGGGATCTGTCTCTTGTGCGCTGAAAAGACGAGGTTAGTTTCCTGGGCCATGAAATCCATGACCGGCAGCTCTACATCTTCCTTGAGTACATGCCAGAAGGTGGGTCACGAAGCGTCGAGGTTGCTTCGAGGTCTTGCAGTCCAAGCTGGAAGCTGACAGACACTGACAGGCACCCTCAAGGACAAGATTGAGGAGTTTGGCGCCTTTCAGGAGGATGCTTGGAACCCATGCAACTCACAGAGTTTTCACAAGCATGTCCAGACAAGCACCGATGCTGGGAACTGCCTAGCTCTATGGAAAAGATGACAGCATCATCCATGCTACCGGTGAGCCTGTGATCGTAGTGGCATAATGGCGTAGTGGCCCCTGGCACTCATTCTGGGACTTCCCTGCAAGCGTTCGCAGGACCTTTGCGCTGCTTTGGGTGAGCAGGTGCCGCAGCCTGCACTGCTCGTTGCTGTCACTCCTTTTGCCAGGGAGCTAGAGAGGGCCATAGGTGCGGGGTGATTGGCTGTCTTCGGAATTCTTCGGATACTGGGCAGTGCCGTCTTGGACAGGTGCTGAAAGGCTTGGAGTACTTGCACGAGCAACAGGCCATTGCTGTCGAGCTCAACGGAGCTCAGCTGTCTCAGCACTTGTTGGGACTCTCCAGAGTGCTACTTGAATCCTCACGACTTAGCAGTAGTAGTCTAGCTTGGCATGCAAAGTCCGTGGCCGTGGAGTTGCTGGCCCAGAGGCTGCTCTTCACATCGTAAGTTCTGACACGCCGTAAACGCCCACCATGCGAGAACTGCCAGTGACGCAGAGCCGAGAAGCAACCGCAAGCCGAGCCCCGAACTGCATTCTTGTTCCTCGGAGGTCCTGCACCGAGATTTGAAGTGCAGCAATCTTCTGCTCGACGTCTCAGGGAGGGCCACTGGTCCGCAAAACCTGCGCTCCCTGACATCCCGGAGTTGATCCCAAGAGGTTTCGTCAGAATTCGCCTTGTGGTGCGCAGCCCCCGAAGAACCGTTCTCCTTGCATATGAGGCTCGGGAGGTTCCCTAGATCTCAGGCTGTTTATCCCAAAGAGGGCCCACAAGCGTTTGCTCATCCCCAAGCCCTCGGCCGGAGGTAAAAATCTCCGACTTTGGCTGTGCCCTGTCTGCATTGAAAAAGCGCCAATCGTCAATTAAATTTCTTCGTACGTCAAGTTACGAGTACCTAAGAAACCCTTAACAAGTTTTAGAGTAATAATAAGAGCCTTTCATCGAAATATAGAGTCGGAATAATCATTAGTGGTATTCCCTGCTGGTACCTATATAAGCATACCATAATGACCCCTCCAAAACCCCGTTCTAAATACTAAGGCCCCTATACCACCCTACCCTGAGCGCGAAACCCCAAACTTGGGATGTTCACCCTTATACTAACAGTCCTTAACACGGATTCCAGTAATCCCTATTAGAATAACGGGGAACAGCCCAACCTAAACCCTCAAAGGGGTGGGGGGGGGAAGGGTAGGTGGGGGGTGGAAGGGCATGGGGCCATGGGAATGGAAAGGGGGGCGGGCGGGAGGGGCGCGGGTGGTGGGGGGTCGAAGGGCATGGGCCATGGATGGGGGGGGGGGCGGAGGCTTAGAGTAAGAACAGCCAGCGCAAGGGTAGGTGTTCCAGTGCCACCAGAGAATCCCAGGCTCGCGCTGGATTGCAAAGGAGGTCCTCGCGATGTCCCTGGTTGGTAGCCCTTTCTGGTGCGCCCCTGCCAGGGTTTAGGGTTTAGGGTTTAGGGTTTTAGGGTTTTAGGGTTTTAGGGTTTTAGCGTTTTAGGGTTTTTGGGCTTTAGGGCTTTAGGGCTTTAGGGTTTTAGGGTTTTCGGGTTTTCGGTTTTCGGGTTTTCGGGTTTTCGGGTTTTCGGGTTTTCGGGTTTTCGGGTTTTCGGGTTTTCGGGTTTTCGGGTTTTCGGGTTTTCGGGTTTTCGGGTTTTCGGGTTTTCGGGTTTTCGGGTTTTGGGGTTTAAGGGTTTGAGGGTTTAAGGGTTTAAGGGTGACTCCGGGCAGGCTCCCGCCTGAGTTGCTCATTGGTGCTCCCTATGACCAGAGCGCCACCCGGAAGCACAGCGCCCTCGGAGTGTTTAGCGTCTCCTCACACAACCCAAGATTGACGATGTGGGGGTGCACTGTTAGGATATGTTAGGATGTTCTCCCTTATACTAACAGTCCTTAATAAGGGTAATCATAGGGGCTACTCTAATCCCTATTAAGGACTGTTCGTAAATAAGCGGGAGCATCCCAAGCGTGCTGCAAGAGTCTTAGGACGTGACGCGCGGCACGAACCCTAAGGCCGACATTTGGTCCTTCGGCTGCTCGGTCATTGAGCTCCTGACGGCGCTGCGCCCTTGGGCGACCCAGGCCGCACATTTTCAGAAAACTGGAGGGGCGATGTCCGGATTGCTCTGCCCACCGTTCTGAGGGATGCTTGTGGGATGCTAAGACAAGAATATAGAACTGTAGAAGAATGCAAGTAAAAGTACGATTGTACTGTAAATACAAAAATGAATATACATATAATATAAGACTAAGAATAACAATCGTAATAATAATAGTACTAATAATCATCACATATTAATACGGTAGCTTCTGGCAGGTCACTGCCGACAATCCCTTGGCCGCTGCCCATCAGATCCGCATCCTCACGGAGAAGGGCGAGAGACCTTCCCTCCCAGCTGCTTGACAAAAGCCACCCTAGTCCTGCAACATGCGCAGCATCCGCTTAGGAAGACAATAGGCCTAGCACGTCCGTAACCCCCTAAACCCTAAACCCCTAAACCCGAAACCCTAAACCCTAGACCCTAGACCCTAGACAGCCAACGAGGAGTCTTCCGAGTACTTCTCGGAGCCTTGCCGCGACTTCCTCTACACCGCCTGCCTGCGCTGCGCAGCCGCGGAGAGACTCCCGGCCTCCCGGCGGAAGCCAAAGGACGAACGTTGGGGGGGTGAAGTTGGGGCGAAGTTCGGGGAGGAGGGCTTTCTGTGGTTGGGAGTACTATGGTAGTATAATGTTCCCTGGTTATGAGCTTTATTATCATAGTATTATCATATTGGATTGTTATATCATATTATAGATGTTTATATTCGGTACCCTAAATTGCGAAGCTGATCTTGGGATTTGTTGGGGCTCGGTTTGACCTCACAGGGGGGTCTAAAGCTTCAGGAAGCGGTTAGACCAGATGAGATACAAACCTTACGTTGATTGCGGTACCATCCCTTTGTGGAAGCTTGCAGTCCAGAGCGGTTTGCGTGTTCACATGCGAAGCTCCTTCGGCGTTCTGAAAACCTAGACCGATCCCCCGTCTAAACCTTATGAGCAACGGTTCTCTGACATTTTCCTCTTCTGCTCTCAGAGCAGAGTGTGCAGCAGTGCTGCTTTTTCTTGAGTAATGAGGCTTGCAGCAGACTCTTATGCTCAAGGTGCAAGTCTTTTTGCTGGTGTCTTTCAAGGGACGCGCCACTGCTTCACTTGTGATGACAAGGCCAAAGACCTGCTGCAGCACGCCTGGCTCCGCCGAAAATGACCCCAGCGTGACCCTCGAAGGCCGCGCTGAGTGCGGTTTCACACGTTAACCACGCAGACTCCCTGGTGAGGAAAGCGCGCTGACAACTGCAGAATCATATTCTGTGCATCTTTCGTCTGCACGATCTGGTTATCGAATTGCCATGAGGCTAGGATGTCTCTGCTGTCAGCGCGCACTCGCCAGCTCAGTGAATCTCCCAAAAAGAACGCAGAGTGCAGTCGGACTGGTCTGGTCCGCGATCGAGAGTCAACCGCCCACATAAACGGCTGCAGAGTTGCTTCAGTTCACGCCAGTCCGCACGTGCTCTTACCACTACTAGGCACAGCCTCGAACGAGGCATGGGCATAGAGTAACCGGATGCGGGCAGAGATCAAACAAGTTGTTGGGGTATGTTGGGGTAGCTGTCCTCGGGTCCATGGTCCTCGTCTGTCTCAGGCCACAAGTTCACAAGGCAAGGCCTGATCTGACTTGAAAGAATACGCCACTGGCGCAACCACCCCCCATCCCCTCCTTCTTCCAGAGGTGTTCGACCGAAGAGGTAGCGTAGTCGATTACCGGTGGCTGGTGTGCCATTGCTAATTTGCGTCACTAGAAGGTGATTCACCCATTTCGCTTGCTGATGTATTGTTCTTCTCGTCACCAGAGCTTGCAGGAGTAATTCAGACACGGGATTTCGCAGATGACGCATGTGTCCGAAGCCATTGGCCAATGCTTTGGCAGAGGCAGAGGCTGTAGAAATTGGCCAAGCTAGGATAAGTTTTTGAGTGTGGGCACCACGAAGTAGTACCTGCCTACTTGTCAATAGACAGCTTTGTTGATAGCTGTGTTGTGCAGACATTGGCCGAGTTTTCGCCACACTATATACAGGCCTGGCATTCCTTAACTGCTGCAGGTGGCGAGTGGAGTCAGGATCTACGCATAAACCTTGCACCATGTTTGCACTACATCAGCCAAGAGCATGCTTGAGATGGCGACGGTGCACAATGCCGGGGTGGAGTGCGCTGAGCAGCCGTGAGGTACACCCTGCAGCAGGTCCTGGTTGAAATGTGGTGTTTCTGTCTTACGCTTCAACGAGCTGTTGCATATGGTTGAAATCTTGGCAGTTTATATAGAGATGTTATGCCGGGCTGCACTTGCTCTTGGTATTGACAGGGTTCGAGCACGACCCCAACGCAGCCGTTTGACAGTTGGGTAGTTAGCTCGCTGACGCTCCCGCTTCCTTCCCCGGGATATCTCCCAGGCAAGCGGGGCGATCTCTACAGCTCAGCTTTATGCGCTGGAAAGATCAGAAGTTCGTTTTTGAAGTAGCAGGTTTGCAGAGACAATCATGGCATGGACTCATGCCTGCTAGCTGTTGATATCAGGGCGATGCCAAAGCAGTTTACTCCGGAATTCGCACCATTTCCATCCGTGATCTTTTGTGTGCAGGCCCCGGTGCAGAATGGCGGCTGGTGATGATGGGATAGAGTGCTTGTTAGATGAATCGCGGCGTGCCACGCAACCATTTCCTTTCGGAAGATGGGTGAACACATGCTGCTCCTTCGAGATCACCTCCGAGGGCACGTTTGAGCAAAAAGTCGGAGGCGGAGGAGGGGCAATCCGTGGCCAACTCCACCAGAACGCCTCGGACCCATGGAGGTGGGTTTAGTGTTGAGGAATGTGTATGCCCTAAACCCTCAACCCTGAACCCTATAGGGTCTATAGGCGAATATATATATATATATATATATATATATATCCATATATCCACACGTCATCCTTCAGGTGGTTTGCTGCGCTGTCCGGGGGCAGGCAGATTGAATTGGAATTGACGAAGGACTGCCATTTGATGGGAGCTTGCACTTCCGGCAATGGCAAGATACTTAAAACTCGTTCGAGCCATGTTGGCATGCTGGATCTCATGCACGAGCGTGCCGCCAAGAAAGCATGGGAATCGGCATTGAATGGCATCATTGAGTGTGCTGTTGGTGAGACCAGCCTTGCAGATGACACACTCTTGAGATGCGCACAAGCAATACATCAGGTGTTCGATCTGGTTGATGGTTTCAACGAACGGTACAAGGTGCACAAAGGTGTTGGCAATCCGGCCTTTGAAGCATTCATGCTGAATGTTGCAGAGTCCGCAACTGGAGTCATTCGTGCCTCCAGCCATTCCGCTCGCCTTGTTCTTTCCACTCACTTCATCAGGTGCTTGTTTCAGCGCCTAGAGTACATCAACAAGAGATTCTACTACACATTTTGGAAGGAGACCAGTTGCTACAGTGCGATGAAGCTGTGCCGTGACAACTACAGCCAGATGCTACGAGCATCGCAGGGCAAGCTTCATGCTCACTTGGCGAATCTGGGAGAACGGAATCTTGACATCCTCCTCGAACAGCTTGAGGCACTAGCTGCGCGAGAAGAGGAAGAAGTTAAGGAGCTGCCATATGCCCGCATTCTCGAGATGGCTGCCGAGATTTCCACCAGGTTGCACCAAGTGCTCCCACTGACGGACGAAGCGAGCTCCCACTCAACTCCCCACTCCCCACTCAATTTGGAGTACTTGCTGTGCTCCAGTGCTCATCAGGCACCAGATAGAGCAACTTTTCACCTCGAAGTTGCTCCTTACATGGGTCTGGCTGCGACTAGCGCCTGTGACACAGAGGAAGCTGCCAAACGCTTGGCAGCCCCTTGGACGATGTAGTGAGTCAATGTGAGTACTGCGACAGTTCCAAGTTACGCATGCAACTCCCATGCTTCCGTGATGTTCTGCACCAAGGAGTGCATACAGAAGGTGAATGGATCTCTGGCCGAAGCCGATGATTGCGCGGCAATCCTGAAGCTGGCAGAAGACTGCTGTGAAGGCCGCCGCTCAGTGGAATCCAATTCTAAATGCAGTGGCGGACGTGTTTGTTGTCTGCGGTACTGGGTGGGCATAGGGCTTCTGGCAAATAAGGTGCCATGTTTGTTTGTGGATGGTTTCTGGAGTGCGGACTGCATCCGAGCAAGATTGAGGGGCTGTTCTTGCGGAGTTGCATGTGTCTTGTCCTTCCCCACAGATTCATTTTTATACCGCAGGCGCCAACAAAAGAGATCTCTTCAGCGCCCTTATTTCGCGCCTTTGCAGCGTCTCGGATGCACTGAAGCAGTGCGTCCTTCAGCCGGAACGGCACGACACTCACCTGCAGTGAGGCTGCGTTGCCAGAAGGTCATCTTGCAGAGGTTTGTGGTAGCAGGTATGCCACCTGAGCTCCGGGGCACTGCAGTCTAAGGATGCCGGAAGAAGGTTCGTCTCCAACATGTTACGGCCCCTTCTATGTGCCCGGCATTTTGCAACGCCAGACCTGAATCGTTTGCTCGCGTGGGCAGTCAGCATTCAGCTCGACCGGCAGTGGCAGTGCCATGAGATACTGCGGTTCATGCAATGTGTCTGCCGGGAAGTCCTGTCACTGCGCGATGCCCGCATGCTGGAGACAGACCTCACGAAGGGGCGTTTTGTCCAGCAGATTCGGGATCACACAGCTTTTGCTGTTGTCTTGACAGACGCATGCAAGCAATTCCCTCGTGCTATCCACAAGATGTTGTTGGAATTGGCGCAAGCAGATTGGATGGACAAAGAAGTACGGTGCGATGCTAGCATCCCTCTTGTTCATGCCTCAGCCAATGGCGGGCACCTGCTAGACGTGAACCAATGGACTGGGCTGTTGATGAGCTATTCGGGAGCGCGCCGCCATTCAGACCTTTTGCAGTCGGCATTGCAGAGTCTCAAGCCGCTTGGGTGCAGGGAGGACCCCGGACTTGCGGCTCCAACGGCTGCAAGTTGCCAAACACTCAGTATAAGGGTTATGTCATACGATGACCATAAGCTGTCAGATGCTGTCAGCTAAGGGCCAGGGTGAAAGATGTTTATCAGCTGCTTGTGCGCTGTCCAGACATCTCTGCAACAGAGGCAGGGGCAGATGGGCGCATGCAACGAGAACCCCCAAACCCTAAACGCCGTAAGCATTTCTAAGCTAGCTGCAGTTGCCTGAACGCCTAAGCCATCTTCATTCCTGAACCTTGTTTCCCGTGAGCGGTGCAGGACGTACGACGCCGAGTTGAAGGGGCGATTCGGGAAGCTCCAAGTTGGAGTATCGAACTGTCGGAGCTTTGTTTCTTGGATGGAATCATGCTAATTATCGTCTCCTTAGAGGCTATTCGCTGAGGTGGTAAAGGGAGTGTCGTCATGAGTCATAAGGGTGACTGATGCATTGATGAGCGTAAATGTGCAGTGGATGAATACGTTAACTAGCAGTGTGCTTCTATTTGCTACTCTTGAGCTGCCATGCACATCGTCGCAGGCTGTGCCTCCGACCCGCACTCTGCCCAACACTGGGTGTCGACGCTCTTCCTCCGCTGCTGGGTGCCCGAGCTGTCCGATGTTCCGCCGGAGTCCCCTCACGAAGAGGCCTTTCTGGAGTGGCTGGGTGTGGAGCAGCGCCTCTCCCAGCCCGAGCTCGTGGTCCAGCGGCTGAAGTTGAACTCGGCCTTCGCCCACCGCTTCCTCGAGGAGCTCCCGGAGCACCCAGAGGCCGTCGATTTTTGCGGTTTTCAAAGAGATGGGGGTTTCCGAAAACAGGCGGCCCCCTCTTGGGGTTCCCCTTAAGGGGATTCTCTTCTATTTGGGGTTTAAATTTTAGCTTGAGACGATGGGGGCAGGGCTGTACCCTCAAGAAACCGGGGGTGATGTCCCTAAACCCTAAACCCTAAACCCTAAACCCGAAACCCTAAACCCTAAACCCTAAGCCCTAAACCCTAAACCCTAAACCCTAAACCCTAAACCCTAAACCCTAAACCCTAAACCCTCTGAGGCTTGGGCTTCAGAGTGGCAAGGCATCCAAGAGAAGCCTTGGCCCCGGCTGCGGCCGCTTCTGGACGTGTTCGGTCGTGGTGACGGTCAGGACCTACCCACAGGCCTTAGGGTTTAGGGTTTAGGGTTTAGGCCCCTTAAAGCCGAAGAGAGTCCACCCAGCCACAGGAAAACTTTTAACAACAGCGAGCCTCCCCATGTTTTCTCTGAGCGCAGGCCTAGAGTTCTTCCGGCAGCTGCGCAGGGCGGCCTTGGAGGGCTTTCTGCCACATCGTGCTTATGCCAGTCTGGCAGTTGCTGGAGAGGGCCATGCTCCCAGGCGGAACTTGCTGAACCTCATGGACAACGTGGACGCCGTCTGCACTGAGATGTCTGAAAGGTTCATCGATGAGATCAGCGAGAAGTCGCAGAAGTCTGAAGACCTTCGGCTGGAACTCCAGCGGCGGCTGCAGCTATTGGAGTGGCTTGTCGAAACGTACAGGTTCGATGAGATCGCTTGTGATCGAGACCGCTTGAAACATCAGATGGCCCGCAGCGAAGATCGCACGCTGGTTGAGCTGCAAAGCTTGGTGCAAGGTGCCTGCGACGTCTTTGGGGGCTTCAACCAGCAGGACAACGGCCGGGAGACCTTCGACTTCTTGCAGCACTTCATGCGGGCTGGCTCAGCCTTAGTGAACCCCTTGCTTCAACATTTCGCCCAAGTCTTCGCCAGTGAGCACGGCCAGATGCTCCTCGAGGATGCCAGATTGGAGTTTGAGGATTTCGGTCAGGTCGTGCAGCTCTGCCACCAGGACTGCGTCCGTCAGTGTGGTTTCATCGAGCCCGACAGTAGGTGTCATCGCAGTAGTCATCCTGTATTTTCTCCCCGTGGCTTTTCAGAGCACTTGAATCTCCCAGGAGCTCCGCAAGCTGGCGCTGGGTCCGGACCGGAACGACGGAGCCGTGAACGCGGCTGTCTGGCATCTGGTTGTCAGGGAGTTCAGGAAACCCGAGGTCACCATGGAGAAGGAGATCGACCTCCTCCTGGAGTTCTTTGGCCACCAAACAGAGAAGGATGCCGGGAAGAAGGAAGGCGGCCTCTTGTCCAGTATCCGAGGGGTCTTCCAGAAAGACAAGTCGAGGCTGGCAACGCGGCGTGAGCTCATGATGGATGCCTTCGCAAGCCACGTGGCCTCTGGCTACATCTCGGACGTGGAGCGCGCCTTGCAGTACATGCGCCTGGATTGGGCTGTGCAGTGCGGGACCTTCCGAGAGCTGAAGCGCCTGGCTGACCTGACCTTGTCGGGGGACACCGTGGACGTGGAGGCAGACGCCCAAAGGCTCCGTGAGTTTCGGGCCCTTGGGCTGGACTTCGAAGATGCCCGGGACCTGCACTTCTTCCAGACCCTCTCTCAGAAGGTTTGCGTCTTCGAGCTCCTTGCCGTTGGTTAGCAGGCAATGAGGGAATTAGGGCCTACATATATATATATATATATATATATATATATTTATTTACTTACTTATACACTTTAAGACTTTAAGGGGTTATATAGGGACCCCCGTTCCCTACTAAGCAAGAGTAAGGTTCTTGGTGGAGCAGGGCTTCACGGGGCCCGACTACTGGCAGCAGTTTGAGCAAAGAGTGGGCATCGTGCGCCAGTTCCTGGAGGAGGAAGTCTCGGCCCCTTGGCAGCTTCGGCCAGAAGGGGGGCTCATTACCCTAAACCCTAAACCCTAAACCCTAAACCCTAAACCCTAAACCCTAAACCCTAAACCCGAAACCCTAAACCCTAAACCCTAAACCCTAAACCCTAAACCCTAAACAACCCTACCCCCTAAACAACCCTAAACCCAAAACCCGAAACCCTAAACCCTAAACCCTAAACCCTAAACCCTAAACCCTAGGAAAAACAAAAAGAGCCCAAGAGAGAGCTCGCCCGCCCCGATCCGCAGGTTCGCCAAGCTCTTCTGGAGGAGCGCTTGAATGCAACTTCCTTGGGGAAACTTGTATATGGGTGGTTGTCAAAATTATGGTCCCTTTTTGGACCCCTATCATAATACGGCACCTAGTACCCAAAAAGGGATCATAATTCTGACAATCACCCATATGGGGGCTTACGAAAAATCGTTGCATAGACCCCCAACTACTGTAGTAGGATCCTCCTTATAGAATAAGGACCCAATAAGGTACCCCCCCCCCCCCTAATTTCGGGAAACCACCCCCCCAATAAACTGCCAATTGATCTTAGAAGAATCGCGTGAGCTTGCCTCTGAGAGAGCTCGCGGAGTTGCGCTAGCAAAGTGCGGTAGCATCCTGGGGTTTTCGGTAGGCCCTCGGATTAGGGCTCAAGATCCCTAAGCCCTAACCCTATAAACCCTATAAACCCTATAAACCCTATAAGCCCTATAAACCCTATAAACCCTATAAACCCTCTAAACCCTATAAAAACTATAAACCCTATAAACCCTATAAACCCTATAAACCCTAAACTCGTTTGTGAAGTTTGAAGTTGCAGCTCTCGCTTGCTCGGGCAGCTTGAGTGCAAGCCTTGACAGACAACTGGCAAGCTTGGTTGAGACCCCCCTCGGATAAAGAAGATCACGTGGAGCATTTGAAGCTGCCAGGTTTAGGTTTAGGGTTCGCACAAGGTGCCTGAGCCACTCTATCCTCTGGGCGGCTTGAAGAAGTGGCCATTTTGTCGACGGTCATGTCTTAATAGGGCCTGTAGGAGAATCCAGATAATAAATAATAAAGGCCTAAGCCTTTATGATTACAATTTTAAACTAGTGATAGAAAAGATACGAACGGGCCAGTAATAAGATTATTTTCGTGGGTCCATAAACTCCTTACAAAATAATGTTATGAAAGGCCCTATTATTATATTCACTTCTTGCGCATTCAATTAGTATTCATATCTTCACTTCTTCTTCACGGATCACCCGGGATAGAACTAAATATGAATGTTGCCGTGGGCTGGATCTACAGTACACGTCGAGAGAAAGGACTACATTGGTACAAAATGGCCACTTCATGTGCCATCTAAGCTAGGCTTACTTCGGGGTGTGGAGGGCGCCCAGCGGAGCCACGCTCCGGCATAAGGCTCCTTTAATTTATCTGACATTCTGACATGGCATCTCTCGCGAGATACACAAGCTCAGAACAATAAAGGCGTCGATCTATGAATGACCTTTCCTTGGCCATGAATTTCAGTCGATGGCCCGAACTTCCTAATCCTGCACATCCTTGGAACCTGACTGTGCTACTGTATTTCCGCACCATGAAACGTATAGGCGGCTAGTCGCTTGCAGGAGCTCCAGCATTGTGCCGCCGTTTTGCTGGGCTTCCTGAACCTCAAAACGCCAGAGGGCGATGCCGAATGCTCGGAGCCTTGGCATGGAATATTAGTCCTCCATTGCACGTCCTGTGTCTTCGGCACCTGTGCTCTAGGCTCAACATGGCTCAAAACTATGCCGTACCCTAACTTCAAGAGCTGCTATGCTTCAAGCATCCCATCCCCAGGCGGCGCTCGTGCAGCTGCTGAGGGGCCTGGGCCGCTGTAAGCCCCGGCCACGCGTGGAGTCCTTTGCCAGCGTGGCAGCGCAGATCCAGCTCATCCGCGCCCTCTTCGCGAACGTGGACCGGCAAGGAGGGCAGGGTAGCGAGTTGCTACTCTGGTCCGTCGACCAGATCCTCACCGGCCAACTTGTCTTGCAGGGCTACCAGGGTGATTTCTACTGCTGGTACACGTACCGGGGTGCTGGCGTTGAGCGCCACGTGACGGTGTCCTCGACAAGCTTGAAGGAGTACTCCACGAGGAGCTTGATGAGCCTGGAGGGCTTGAAGGAGCAGCCTGAGAAGTTTAGGTTGCTGCAACTGTTCCTCGAGCAGGTGCGGGCCATTATGGCCAACGACACCGGGCTGGCAGCCACCGCGGCTGCACTCCACAAGGATGGACATCCCAGGTTCCAGCAGAATGTGGAGATTTGCATGAAAAGCAATCTGATAGTCGAGGCCCACCTGCAGCTGGAGAGCTTGAGCACTTGGAAACACGAGGTGCGTCACACCCTGGAAGCTGCTCCGCTTCTGGGGCTGGTGCCCCGGGGCCAGATGCATGCCTGGCTCGCGCAGGCGTACGCCGACGGCCTGACGGGTGATATGCTCAGCTCCGTGGTCGAAGGGCTGAGTGCCTGGAGCCCCTGCAGTCCTGAAGTCTTCGAGAGCAAGCTGTGGCCTTCAGGCATTGGCATCGGTGAGCCCCTGGAGGCAAGCGTGGCTTTGATGGCCCTCCGCCTTTGCTGCGAGGATCTTGCGGTGGATCCCCAGCAAGCTCACCAGAGGCCGGGGCGCTTCCAGGTCCAGGCCAAAGACAGCGAGGATGCCCTGAAGAAGGTGGCGCACCTCTTCTTGGCCTTGGAGGGTGGACCCAAGCGGCTCCCCCGACCATCTGAGGTTCTCTTCTGCGACGACCGGGTTCCCGAGGCCGAGGTGGAGACGTTCTTGTGGAGATCGCGGAGGTTTCCTCAGCTGCTCTTCGTTCTCGTGGAACCAAACCGTCTTTCGCCAGATGGCAAGAAGCTGATTGCCGAGTGGCTGGCGAGCGAGGATCTCCAAGACCGCAGCTCTTCCATGGGTGTGATCCTGACTTCGCCCTGGTACATCCCTGCCTCTGCGCAGGTGCGCGAGATGCACGTGCGCCCAGAGCAAGCCGTGCAAATTTGGCGAGAGCAGTGCCCTGCAGAGGTTTTGCTTTACCACACGGAGCTCCCAAAGGGCACTGGGCCTTCCTCGGGGAAGAGCACCTACATCCGGCACCGGTGCAAGCAGAATGATGAGGAGGTCGTGAGCTGCATCCTGCATGAGGGTTTCCAGCTTAGCCAGTTTATTGCAGAGGCACGCAAGCAGATCATCGACTGTGGCCTTGGGGGCCGCCACATTGCCTTGCACATCGAAGTGACTGCCTACAGCGACTGGGAACTCAGCAACGCCTTCCTGCGACATCTGCTGCTGTGCCAGGTGCTCTACGATGCCGGTTCTGGGCAAATGGCTTCACTTCCGGATGGCACCAGGATCTATGTGGAGGTTGGCGCCGTTGCTGGGAAGCGTGATCTCCACGCCTTGAAGCCCTACGCCACGGAGGAGACGATGCAAGCACGCTTCCCGCAACAGCACAAGAGCGGGATGCAACTGACGCTGTCTCTTCTGTATCCGATTCTGGAGATTGTGGGTCGAGACGTATCTGGTGAGGTCCTGGGATTCCCCCTCCAAGAGAGCGAGCGGCACTATCGGTCCAACTTGCATGGTGACGAGCAGTTGCACATGCGCGTTGTCTGTGATTCCTGTGGAGTGACACCGATTCGAGGCCAGTGCTATACTTGCCAGGTTTGCAACGACTTTGATCTCTGCGCGGTGTGCTACGACAACAACGCCCACGACCACGATCCAAGCCATGGATTCCGAGGGCGACAGGTGAGCGCACTTCCCTTCCGCTTGATGCAGGCATTCTTGCAGCCCCACCCGCTGGATGACAGGCGACAGCTGCCACCCGGACTTGGAATGGTTCAGCTAGGTTTTTCTGCCCTAGGGGCTTGTGGTGCTTTCGAGTCAGCAGCTAAATCCCTACAGCGTGCATGGACAGTTCTATAAGATCAAGCAAGGCTGGATGCGCGCCCCAGTGACATGGAGCTGCTGACTTCGGTGAGAGAGATCGACCCTTCCCAGATCCCCGCCGGCGCAGAGCTGCTCGAAGAGCTGGCCGACATGAGCCTTTGTCATAGTTGGGTAACATTTTATACATTGATAAGGGGGTACCTAAACCCAATAAGGAATATACATATTTAAATTTGTAATACCCTCCCAACCATGAGCTAGGAACGCAGCCTTCGTGGACATCGACGTGCAACGCCTCCGGGATCCGCCGGACGCGGCCAGCACCTTGCAGATCTTCGCAGCCATGAGCAGCCTTGAGGCGCTGACCCGCGCGCACGAGGACATGATCGTGCGGCGCGTGGGGATTCTGGGCGACTGGATGGCGAAATCCCACACCTTTAGGGGGTCGGATGGTCAAGCCTTTACTGGCCTGGCATCTCTTCTCATGCGTTGCATGGGCGTCAACCTTCAAAAGCTCGGAGCGGGTGAGGAAGTGTGTATGCACTTCGTGGTGCCATACACACAGGATGCCCAGGAGGATTATCTTATCTTCGTCCCATCTTTGGTGCAAAATCCCCTGCAGCCTCAGGAGGGCATCTGCAGCCATGGCCCCGAGTGCGAATGCAACCAAACCCGGCTCCAGCTGGTGGGCCTGGTTCCAGACAAAGTCTTCCTCGCGGACCCTCTCAGCATCTTCAACCTCGGATTGTTGGCCTCTGCTGAGGAGCCAGCATGGGCTTTTTTGCGCCGGAAAAAACCCCCCGAACCAATATGTATATTATATATACATAAAGGGCCTTTCTAGGGGGGTTAGACTGTTAGGGGGGTTATGTAGGGCACTTCCTAGCCCATGCAGGAAGACGAGCATCAGGGCATCGAGGCCTTGTCCCTGGCGTTCGGCATCCCCTCCAGGCGGATTCGAGAGATTTTCGTGGCAGAGGGCTACGTCCTGACACGGGACTCTTGCTGTTGGTGAGCAGGGGAATGTGAGGGAGATTTTTGTAGGGCCCTAATATATACCCTTTAAGGGATTCTATATGGGGTACCTCCTTCCCCCCAATTCCCTACGAAGCAACACTAAGGACTACGCCTGCAAGATCCTGGAGCTCCTGGCTCGGCGGCGATCACGCGTTCCGACCATCCTGGTCGGGGAGAGTGGGACGGGTAAGACTCGCGTGCCTTGGCCAACATCTGCATATGGGCGGTTGTCTCGAAATTGTGGTCCCTTTTGGGGTCATACGGCAACTAATATTTATGTAGGGTACCCCAAAAGGGATCATAATTTTGACAACCACCCATATGAGTTATCAGTCTACCATATTTCTGCACTACGCCCCTCAGCATCCCTTCACCTCGATCCTGTCTCAACTCAGCTCACGCTCATGCCGCGAGGCTCTGGAAATGCTGACGCGGCTTCTCCTGGAGTGTGATGAGGTGAGCCCACCTTTGGCCAAAGTACTCTACAAGTACATGAGGAACAAGCTGGTGAATATCAAGGACTGCAGTTGAGCTTCAGGGTTAGGCTTCTTAGGGGCATTGAGGGTTTATGCGCTTACCCGCGAGCAGGACGCCAATCCCGACAATCACGCCGTCGGGCTCGTGGAGGCCAACTTGGATGTGTTCCGTGACCTATTTGGTGCCCATGCATGTCTGCCCGAGTCTCTGGAGTCGTGAATTTAGGTTTGTCTCCCTTCCTCTGCAACTGACAGGCGCAAAATCCTACCATGCTAGCTGTATCATGGTGTATCTTTCGAAAACTCGACGAGTGGTGCTCTTCTACTCCTCTGAATCTGCATCCGCAGAAGCGGAGTTATAGGGCCTTAGAGGGGACCTCTTTTGGGGGGGGGGGGGGGGGCTCTTGGTGACTCAGAGACATCCGAGACTGAGGCTCCTGAACCAGGGCTTTACCATTCAAGGCCTGAAGGAGCTGCGGGAGCGAAGTTCTGCTTATGTAAGTGTCGTGCACTGTGACTCCACGACATGCTTTTCCAGGACCTCTTGGGCAATGCAGCTTTGTATGGAGATGGTGCGCAGTTGGTGGAGACTGAGCTGAACAGTGTACTTAAGAACTCCCCATGTAGAAACCCAGAGACGTTGCAGCGTAGTCGTGGCACACTGCCGCGTGCTGCAAGTGAGAGAGGGGCTTTTGTCCACGGATCGCGCCCCCGCGCGAGGGTCCCATCTTCACGCGCAAAGAGCTTCTACAGAAGCTGTTGCAAGAAGTGCGGGGCTCCGCCCGCTACGACGTGGGCCTGCCCCTCGTCCCAGAATGCAGGCTTTCTTATTGGGCCCTGCTTGCCTCGTGATATCTCGTGATCACTGCTATGTGGTTTGTTGATGTTTGAAGGCACACATGTGTCACTGAAGGTTCCACTTGCTGCTCCGGCACCTGCCTCTGGACGAAGCCGATCCCGTTGAGGCCGCAGACGCGGCGCAGAGCGCCCTGAAGCGAAGTCAGAATGAGTGGAGGCGGGGCCTTTCCAGAATATTTGAGAAGCCTTGCGTGTCTAAGGGTAGCTACATGGGCCCTTAATGTGGACCCTTACCTTCCGTAAAGGTTCTGAAGCATGGGCCATGACTTTTCTATAGGATATATAAGGGGTGTATAAGGGGTCCCCCTTTAAGGGCCCATACATACCAAAAGGGACCATGCAACTACCCTGAGAGTGTAGGTCAGGATCTGAGCAGAGCTGTCCTCAGGAGACGGAATGAGTAGAGACAGAGAGACAGAGAGTCCCCAAACCGCAGCCAAGGTTTCTTTCTTTCACCAGAACGATCTAGATTCTGTAGACCCCAAGGCCCATACTTCATTCTCTCCTCGCGTGGCTTCCTCCGGTTTCATTGAGGGTGCACCCAGGAACTTTCCCGCCCCTCAAGCTCCTGGAGAGGTTATGCGAACCATTTCTATCTTTATCTCAGCGCTTTGCAACCTCAGTGCCTGCGGGCACCTCCCAAGCGCCCCCCCAAGAAGTCACTGCAAACAAGGCCCGTCTCGCAGTGGGTGGTTGCCCTGCTGACTGACCCAGCATTGGCCCCAACTCCTTTCCCCCCCTCTCCACGCGCTCCGCACCGCGCACAACACAACGCCCCCTCCGCTAGCACAATGCACTGACAAGCAACGTGGGAGGAGAGGAGTGGAACTTTCTGCCACACAGGGTGACATGCCACTGAGTCATATTGAGCCCAGCCACCGAAGCGTTGCCAGGAGCCTCAGCAAAGAGGCGAAGGAGCTGGAACGCCAGAAGAGCAGCTTCTTGCTTGCCCTCCGCTGGGCACGCGACCCGGCCTTTCCACAAGGCCCATATGCCGATCTCCATCACAAGTTGCCAGACAGTCGCAGCTACAGAAGGACCCAAACCGCCCTACTAGCAAGTCGAGAAGTCAAGACAGGCCCACCAAGAGTAAGAGGCCCCCCCAAATGTGCCAACAAAGCTCCGTGGAGCACCAAAGACCCTCAGATGCCGAGCCGGCGGACATCGATGCGGAAAGCTTGGAACAGGAAACCGATGACGTGCACGAAGCCAGCCTGCCGGCTGCGGTTTAGAAGCGGGCCGGGTTTTGGCGACTGCTTGGGTTTACTACGGGGGGTGCAAAGTTCAGGGCTTTTTCGGCTTAAGGATCTTGCTTCGGATGCTGAATGCTCGTGGGGCAGGCAACTTTTGCTGGGTCAGGATTCCAGAAGACACCGCGTCTTTGCAGCATCGTGCTGCAAGTCTGGAGCTTGTGCACCCTGTAAATCCTGTAACTCTGTTTCCCGGACCCGAAACTCAAAACCCGACATTACATCCGGCGGCCTGGATCTTCAGACTAGGCCTTCTTTTCGCCCTGCGCGCCGTGACGCTGCTGCCCGCTGAGCCAGTCTTCTTCCGGGTGCAGGCCTGTGATGGTGCCGTTCCTAGTAGTAGAGTAGGTAACCTTAACCTTTTCGGGGTAATATAATCCAAGGTTGACCCTTTAGTTCCCCCAGGTGTTAGCAGAAGCCTTTGCGGCTAGTTGCAGTGCTGGCTGTTTCTTGCAGAGGTCCACGCGGCGCTGACGGCAACAGATATCGAGGCGCGCGCGCCAAGATGCCTAGACCATCCTCGACCCATCTAACCCCCTTTACTATCCCATACTATAAGTTCCCAAACAAACTGCCCTAAGCCCTAACCCTGAAGCCTGAACCCGGAGCCCTCAACCCTAAACCCTAACCCTAAACCCTAAACCCTAAACCCTAAACCCTAAACCCTAAACCCTAAACCCTAAACCCTAAACCCTAAACCCTAAACCCTAAACCCTAAACCCTAAACCCTACACCCTCAGCGTTAGGCTCAGCTTCGGCCCGCCTTCGCGGCATGCGAGCGGGAGCCTGACATGACGGTGATCGTCTTCCTGGATGAGGTGAACACCGCGTCGCTCGGCTCGCAGTCCCCGCCTCGCGGAGGTGTTAGGGGTTTAGGGTTTAGGGTTCGGAGGGTTTGTGTCGGGTTCAGGGTTTAGAGTTTAGGGTTTAGGGTTTAGGCTTTAGGGTGTAGGGTTCAGGGTTTAGGGTTTAGGGTTCGGTGTGGCTAACCTTTCCACCTTGCGGACAAAAACGGACACTGTCGGAGTGAATCCTGTGCCTCAACGGCCTTGAGCAGGTCCTGCTTGGGCTTCGTGAAGGCGATCCTCTGTGACAAGTTCCTGGTGAGCGACTTCCAGAACCTCTATCCCCCTTTTGGAGTTATTTTCTCATTTTTGTTTATATAAAACCCAAGAGGATATCAACAAAATACTATTTTTATTCAGGTTCTAAGGGGAGTATAGGAACCTCTTCATCATCGCGGCCTCCAACCCGTATCGAGAGGAAGCCAGCAATGAAGATCTCGTGCTGCGTGGCAGCACCACGGTCATGCGTGACTTCTTCCAGGTGCACTGCTTTGGGTACTTTTCACCACACTTATAAGTCTACTTATAACTTATAACCTATCTGGAGACTGGAGACTTAGCAGGGGACTTAGGGGGCTTATAAGTACAGTGATAATTGCCCTGAACCTCCAAGTGTTTGTTGCCATATTCAGGATTCATGTCGCTAGGGCTGTAAGAGCCTCCGACTCCACAGTGAGATGTCCAACATTGGGGCAGGTGCATCCTTTGCCGCCCTCGTTCCAGCCCTATATTTGGAATTGGAGGTCACCCAGTGCAGATGACGAAGAAAGGTATGCCTTGCTTCTTCTGCACAGACGAGCTCACATCGCAGAGGACGAGATTTGTCTATTCATTGACGTTACGATAAGAAGCATAGAAGGCTTGTGGCTGTCAGCTGCTGTTGTCAGCACGTCTGAGACCGTCTCGTCCTTTCCTGGCTTGTTCTAGGTGCCCTTTGAGTCTTTCCTGCCATTCCAAGGATCCGGATTTGCATCGCTTTGCAAGGGCCATTGCCGCGGCGCAGAACTTCATGCGAGCTGAGTTGCACTCACCGTCGGCGGTGTCGCAGCGCGACATCATCCGCGTGGTCCGGTTGCTGGTCTTCTTCCGGCAGCACAGCTTTGCCCAGCCCGATGTGAACGAACGCTGCCGAGCAGCTCGCGCCCTGCTCCTGGCCCTGGGGGTATCCTTCTACCTCGGACTCAACAGCTCACAGCGTCAGCTGTTCACGGAGAGGGTGACGGCCCGGCACTATGCCGAGATCTTTGCAGAAGAGACCTGTCACAGCCTGGATCTGCCTTCTGTGCTTGCCGAAGAGATGGATGTCTACATGAGAGCCATCCAACTTCCATCAGGCATAGCCCTCACCCGGGCTTTGAAGGAGAATATCTTTGCCGTGATTGTTGGCATACAGTGCAATATCCCCGTGATGGCATGCCAGGCACCGGAAAGACGCTTGCCGTCAACATTGCCACGGACGTCTTGCGGGGCTCCGGCGCCGTGCCCTTCTTCCGCGCCTTCTGCGATGTGGCCAACTCAGTCTTCCGGTACCAGTGCTCCAAAGATAGCACGAGCACGCAGATCCACGAGGCAGGGCATGGCCCTAAACCCTCTCAACCCTAAACCCTAAACCCTAAACCCTAAACCCTAAACCCTAAACCCTAAACCCTAAACCCTAAACCCTAAACCCTAAACCCTAAACCCTAAGCCTAAACCCTAAACCCCGGAATATTTGAAGGCTGAGCACTTTGAGCACCCATGTCCTAGTAGTGACTGGAAGGGAAGGCACTCGCTCCACACATTTCTTACTTGCCACGGTTGGCAGGTCTTCGAGAGTGCCGTGAGGGCGAAGCAGCGCATAGACATCGAGGAGAAGCATGGATGTCTAAAGCATTGCTTGTACTTACGTGCAGGGTAGCGGGGCGTTTGACATGAGACGCTACTGGGGAGCAGGAGAGCGAACGACGCCCGGTGGTCTTCATTGATGAGGCCGCCAAGTTCAAGACGACCTGTAGCCACATTTCCTAGCTCGGTTCAGGGGCTGGGCGTTGCGTGCATGTGAGGCCGGCTTGCCCGAGGAGAAGGTGGAGAGCCTCAAGGCAATCCACTACTGGATCGATCAAGGCTGGAATCTCAAAGCGCAAGCCTTAGGCCTTGCTTGCCATGGCATTCATTTCTCTGTCCCATTTACAAGGATCGGTTGCTTGCTGCATTTTGGCCAACAAGCCGCTGGATGCTGCAAAGCGCAACAGATGCCTGCAGGCAAGGTTCAGAATCACAAAAGCCATCTCTGCTTTCGGGATGATGTTCTTGTGCTTGTTACTTTGGAGATGCGGCAGGTCTTCCGAGACGAGGCCGATGGTGAAGACCTGAGGCTGCTGGCATCTGAATGCTTGGGGGTCAGCCGCGATGACCCTGCCTCCCGCTGTCTGGTGAATGGCTTCTGCAAGGCGGAGCGGCGCCGCAGAACATCTTAGAAGATCGGGATAGGATTACATGTGACAGAATCCAATATACGGATACATATATATATATATACACATTAATGCACACAAAGCCGAATAGTTCACCAGACACAAAGAAGAAACTAACAAGAAGAGAGAGACCCAGACGAGAGAGACAGAGAGCGAGCGAGCGCCATCCGAAGTGCGTGCAGTGCTGTACTACGGATCTTGCCCTTGCATGATGCCTGCATTGTTCCTGCGCTAGGCATTCCAGGAGATATCAGCGGGTCGGTGGACGAATGGCCAGGATGCCTTTGGAATCTTCCACCTGCGAGACTTCCACCACTGCCTCCGCTACCTCCGAAGATTCGGGCTGGTGCAGAATGGATCCGTGTCAGGGCAGAGCGTGCTTCGTGCGCTGGAGAGGAACTTCGGAGGACTCACGAAGGAGGAGTTCACGGCCTTGTGCAAAGTATTCTTCAGACACCTCCGCGAGGAGACGGGAGGGCGGATAGCGGAGCTGGAGGTGAACTGGTTCCGAACCACACTGGCCGTGTTGCAAGAGGCCCTGCTTGACCTCCCAGAAAGAGACCTCAGGGATGCGAATTACGAGCCATGCCGCTACAAGCTCATCATCGACGAGACCGAGGATGGCGGGGCTGTGCGGGTCCTGCAGTCGGCGGGCCTATTCCCAGCACAGGTCCCAGTTCTAGAGGTGAGCACGTTGCCAGGTGACCAGAGTGACCTTCATCGCAGCCAGGTCGTGAGTGACATCCGCAGGGCTGCCGAGCGCCCGGGCATGTGTGTCATGGTCGACTTCGACGAGATCTTGGATGGCTTCTACGACCTTCTGAACCTCCGCTTCCAGCGCATTCAAGCGAACGGCCGCGTGAGCTTCGCAGCGACGGTGGCTGCAGGAAGCTACTCGGTCCTGGCGCCGGTTGATCCACGCTTCCAATTGGTGGTGTGCATCAGGGCCAAGGACCTTGCACTGACCCCTCTGCCCTTCTTGAACCGCTTCGAGAAGTTTTACCTGGGTCCCGGCGACCTGGCCATTCACACTGCCGACATCCTATGCCATCGTCAAATCCACCAGCACTTCCTCAGAGACTACCTGCTGCAGCCCGTGCGCCAGCGACTGCAAGCTTTGGTTCAGCTTCTGGGCCCTGCAAGCCTCATTGGCTTCGATACCGCCACCATGGATTCAGCGATCAATGAAGCCATGCAGACCAGCCGATGCCAGACGGCATTGCAGTTGCTTTCGGCAGGATGGGAGGAGCGCACGGAGGGCGCGGCCGAGGAGACTGAAAAGCCGATTTCTGAGGAGTGGCCGCTCGACATCGGTCAGGCAAGGCCAGAAAGGGCCGAAATCGCCGACCCCGTTTGCTTTGGCCATGAGAACGCAGGGAATACATGCTTTTTGCAGGCATCCCTTGTGCTGTTCTGCGTGCACGAGAGGCACCTGTTGCCACCAGAGCATGAGGCAGAGCCTGTCTTTCTCACTGACTTGCGCCACCTCTTGAGGAAGTCGCGCCGGCAGTGTGTGCCACGTGAGGACGTCTGGTCGCTGGCGCAGAAACTTGAACGATCGGGGATCATGCAGCCAGGGCAGCAGGACGATGCAGTGGAAATGTTCGAGGCTTTGCTCGACGAGTGTAAATGTTCAAAGCTGGCCTTGCCCACCATGACGTGTGCCAGGAAGTCTGACTGCGTCGGTCTCAGTGACCCTTCCAGCAAGGTGTACGTGTCCACCGCTCTGAATGAGTGGGTGCTGCGGACAGCCATGGGGACTGACAAGAGCTTTGCGACCTTACTGCAAGACATCGTCATGGAAACCGTGACGCCCTGTAAGGTCGAAATGGGCGAGGAGGGCAAGATGACCGAGGTGGAGCTGCCCACCGCCGTGCGTGCCAGGCGGCGCTTACCTGGGTCGTTGCCCCCCGCTATCTTGCCCATCTGCTTTGGGCGGTGGGATGAAAGCAGGCAGAAGAATGACGGCAGCCTCAATGTGCCCATGGACTTGACCCTCCCACTGTTGCCACCATCACAGGAGACCTTGGCACTTCATCACATGGAGCATTGGAGCTATGAGCTGGTCTCCTTCATCGTCCACATTGGCAGCTTGGAGAACGGGCACTACGTCGCCTACTTTAAAGCAAGAGGCGGCTGGGAGGTCGTGGACAACGAGCACTGCTCCCGCCTGATGCCTGAGGATGCCAAGTACCAGGCAGGCAAGGCGTATCTGTTGGTCTACAGGCCAGGCTGCCTCTTCAAGCCGGTTTTGGGGCGTGTAGGCATGTGCAAGCCCTCAGTCATCTCACCCCCCTCATCTTCACAGTTTTTGATTTGCATGCAGGCTGGTCGACTACAAGGGCACCTTTCCCGCAGAGACGCTGTCTGAACCGGAGCTTCGGGGCAACTTGGCCCGCTTTTTGCACCCCCCCAAAAAAAACAAAGAAAGAAAATGAAAGGAAACAATTTCCCTACTGCTACTAGCTTCTCCTGCTACTCCTGCTCCTATACTTCACATACTTCGCCAGGCAAGCGGGTGGAGGATCGGCTTCAGGAAGCTGTGGCCCTGCTGGCGGAGGAGGCAGCGAAGCGATTGCTCCAGCTGGCGCCCTCGGAGACGGTGCTGAGCCACCGCAAGTCACTCCCAGAAAGCCTCACCACAGGCCAGTCTTGTCCGTGCTAAAAAGGCCATGCTTGATAGCAGTATATGTACCAGTGTAGCCTCAACACCGTCGGGATGCATCGTAGCATGGTAGAGGGTGAGGGGGAAGCATAGGGCCTGTCGGCGCGAGGCTATGCGGAGCGGCCGCACACGGGCTTGGCTTCGGTGCTTGCAGAGCTGCAGTCAGGGCAGTCTGCGCTGTCCGGGCCATCCGGGCCGTCCGGGTTGTCCCGGCGCTTTCTGCTTTTGACCCGCGACGTGCTCCTTGCTTCCGGCGACTGCCCCACGGCGCATCTCAGAAGAAGGGACATGGAAGTCCGCCTTTTGCCACGGACCAGGCAGGAGACCATCGAGCTGCTGAGGTCATGGCAGTCAGAGTCGAAGCCTCTGATGATTGTGTGCCGCCTGTCCAGCAGCATGTCCAAGGGCACGGAGAACGTGCAGTGCACGTCGCGGGCGGTACATCAGCTACGCCGCCTGGCCGATGAGCTTGACATCAACGGCCTCATCGTGACGCTCCTACTACCACCAAAGGCATTGCACGAGAGCCGCTGTTATGAAGCAGCCTTCCTCGGTTCTTGGCAGATCTTTCACCTGGACAGTTTGGATGATGCAGAATCTCCTGCCTTGGTGGCGTCCATCTTGTCCCCAAGCATGCCAGACGTGAAGGGGTCTGTGTCTGGTGAAGGCGAGCTTCAGAAAGACCTGTGGGCATCCGTGGCGAGACTCCCGGTGTCCGAGCCGATGCGGATATCAGCGGAGGCCTGGGTGCATGAGGCCAAAGGCTTCTACTCTGGCGAAGCTTTGCAAACGCGGGTGGACCTGCTTTGGCAGCTCCTGACAGTGCCTGGCCTTCGGACCATTTTAAACATGTATGAGTGGAGTTGAGCGCGTAGCCAACGTTTGAGTGATGCCTGGGCACATGCATGTAGGTACTTGTAGGGTTTATTTCGTAACTGTACCAGGAGCTGATGTAAGTATAGAATATGTGTATACGTATATTACTATGCGCAGTTTTGTCCAGGCAGCGGCTGTGGAGGGTTTTGACAGGGTTGAGTGCCAGCCCGCATAAGGAGCCCAGTGCCATCTTCCTACTGGAGGAGTTGCAGAGGATTCGTGCTGCGGCGCTTCAGGACGTCTCCCTCCACCAGGCCCGGTGTGGTTCTCTACTTTATGACTTGGTGGCAGCCGCTTTTGTTTCATAGACTGTCGAAGCTGGTGCCCATGAGTATAAGGGCTGCCGTTGCCTGACACTGCAGTCCGTGTCGCCTACAGAATTGTGCTTGCATTGCATGGTGCGCAAATGTGTAGAGTCTCATGAAGTATGTACAACATTTTTCTCCTGATCCTCACAATGCCTACCTGCACAAATAAGAGAAAGCCCCAGACAATATGAATCCACCCCTTGTCCATTCGCTCCGTCTTGCAGAAGCAGAGCAACAGGAAGCGATTTCAGCGGCAATGGAGATCATGGAGATGGACGTTCGACAGAGGCTATAAACAGCACAGACCCATGGCTTCCTGTCAACTGGGGCTTGTTGTCACAACTGGGTGTTGTGCGTGCGCCAAAAAACTTTGAGCTGTTCAAAAAACCCTATAGTAGTCCCTATATAATCCCTTTATAAGAGTCCCTATATTCACTCTTCCACTCTCCCTTAAGCACCAGTAAGAAGAGCAAGCCTTCTTCCAGGCGGCCAATGCTGTGCTTGCAAACGACAGTCCGAAGCTGGGCTGCAAAAGGACTCTACCCTAAGCCCTAAACCCTAAACCATGCATGAACCTTCAACTTAGCCCTAAGCACCCTGAGCACCCTACACACCCTAGACACCCTAAACACCCTATACACCCTAAACACCCTAACACCCTAATTATTGCTAAACACCCGAAACGCCCCAAAGCCTATGAAAGTCTGCGCCACTGTAATCAACCCAAGAGCTGTCAGGCAACAAGTGCGCTGAGAGGGTCGTCTCAGCTCTGACAGCGGCACTCCACTGGATATGCGATCAAGGCCCCCGCTTTTTCCCAAGCAGACAGGGGATGTTCAAGCCTCTTAGAATTATGGTAGCACACGACTTCGAGTAGGAGGGTGCCTGAGTTTACAAGAGGCTTCTCATAAAGGTGGAGAGCTTCTGCTCCATGCGGGTTTTCACCGCAAGTGCCTGCCAGGTGGCCTGCTAAGCTTGCAGCTCGGAGGCCAGGAGTCCTGTAGCACAAGGGACTCAAGGAGGAACCCTTCTAAGGGACCTTAGGGGCTACGTAGGAACATAGGGGCTCTGTAAGGAAAATGTCGGGGTTGGATAGGGGAACAAGACTAAAGGTCCCTTCTAGGGGTCCCTCCTTAATACCCCTTAAGTAACGCTTGCTCAAGAAGAGGGCCCTTGCTTTTCTGGGAAAGAGGTGGGGGGGGGGGGCGAAATGGGGCGAAGGGTACCTGAAATGGGATAGAACGAGCTGGAGAAGGAACTCGTGGAGGGAGGTAACTGTGGGTTTCGTTAGCTCGCTTTGGTACTTGGTACCCTAAACTGTGCATTTTACAGCTTGCGATCATGCGCCCATGACCAAACCCCCAACTGATAAGCTCTATCCCCCTCTTCGCACGCAACGCAAACAAGAGTTTGTGCACAGACAACAGTGACGGAATCTGGCCACAGCATGAATGGTCTGGCGATCTGTTTGAAAGTTAAGACTCCGACTGCAGCGAGTTCAGAATAACGTGGCTCGAAGGTCCGGGTGAAGCTGCATTGGCCATGGCCCATTACGTGAAGATCCGAGCAACTGGGCCAAGAATGCAACCTGCAGCCTAGTAGTAGCTATGGTTGCTCTAGCAAGTCCAGTATCGTTGCCAAGGCCGCTGAGGGGTACACTGCGCCGGACACCGCACTGATGCCAGCCCCGCATGACCCGATGCTCCCGTGCTTTCCGCTCCTCTTCCGAAAGCTCCAGGAGCAACCTGGCTGGAGTTTGCCTAGTTTGCCTCCTTTAATATTCCGGAAGTTACCATATAAGAGAGCCTGCCCTGAAGAAGAGAACTTACCCGAGCTTTCTTTTCGCTTGAAAGCAGACTCCGAGGTGTTTGCTAGACAGCCGCACCGGCTCCCCCAGTGACGACGCCTCTCCGGATGTCTTCGACGACTGCGAAGAGTACCTTGGGGACCAAGTGAACCCTAATTAAAATTGGGGTCAGTTTTTCCCTTCCTGCTATAATTCCCATTAAGGTATATGAACCAAAAGCCCTTTTTTCCCTTACTACTATAATTCCCATCAAGGTATATGAACCATAAACCCTAAACCCCTAAACCCCTAAACCCCTCAACCCCTCAACCCCTAAACCCCTAAACCCCTAAACCCCTAAACCCTAAGCCCTAAGCCCTTTTAGGGTTCATTGCTCGTCCCCAAGGCAGGACTTCGTGGCGATCACGACCAGCGCTTGGATGAGGCACCCCTACTATCCTCTGGCTGAGCTCATTGCCAACTCAGGCCAGGGTTTAGGGCTTAGGGCTTAGGGCTTAGGGCTTAGGGCTTGGGGCTTGGGGTTTAGGGTTTAGGGTTTAGGGTTTAGGGTTTAGGGTTGTTCATGAGAAGACTCGAAGATGAAATGGGCATAGTGCCCTCCACGGCGAATATTGTGGTGCATCGTGGAGTAGAAGCAGCATTGTCTATAAAATACTTTGGGAAAGAAGGAACCTCGGAGCGCATACCACCAAGGCATAAAGTGTATTTATGTGTGTATACATGTATATACCCTACCCCGAAAAATTCAGAAAACGCCCTTCCCGCGCCCCCTCGGCACCGTGAATGCTAAGAGGGCCAGGCCTTCGATTCAAATCTCGAGACCTCCAATGAACCCATGGCAGGATATTGGCCTAGAAGACTGACTTGAAAGAAAAATCCATACCGCGGTACCTGCTTAAGCCGGCAGACTTGTCTTTGCAGACCCACACGTGCCATGATGCCAAACCCCGAACCTCCGAAAAGGTTTGCTGCCGGCTTACTCCAGCTATGTGGCTGCTCGCTTCGGCTTCAGCCATGTTGCGGCGACGTTACTGAGGGCGTGGGCTGAACCTTACAACTCCGCTGCGCAACTGCCAGGCCAGCTTACGGAGAGAGAGGGCCTACGGTGGAGGGTGGAAAGGGATGCAGGGTTTGCGGGTTTAGGGGTTACGGGGTGGGCTTACAGGACTGTAGGAAAGGGCTAGACTCTACAGAGTTTAGGGCTCGGCTTTTGGTCTTTGAGGGCAGTCGGGATTTCGGCGGCTTTCTGTCTTAATGTGGGCTTCAGAAAGTGTAATCTTATGAATAGTACATGACTTATGGCCTATGTTATACTGTGATTATTCATATTTAGTAGTCATATACTATATTCACTTATCATCATATTAATGCAGTTTGGCCATCGATTGTATCATGCTGCGCTTTTTGGAACCCAGGGGTCCGTGCCCTGGGGTTCGGCTTCTCTACTTCTCGAAAGACACCCATCCGAAACAGCAAAAGGCAGTGCATGGTAAGAGTGCTAGGGTGTCACGAGATGCAGAGGCTGCTAAGCTGTTTTCGTATGCTAATCTGCTGCGGCTTTACAGGAAGGGGTTCCGGACGTGAGCTGTGCCAGGCCTTCACGCCTGCGCCTGGCATCTCGGATGAAATTAGAGAGAGGCAAGAATCAAAGCCATGGTGCAAGTATCATTGGAAGCATGAGGTGGCCTAGGATTTGAGATTCACCACTCCAGCGCCGTTGTGGGGGTAGCATGTGTGTGTGTGTGTTCTACAGCATGGCTTGTTTTCAAAGAAGCCGGGGACGCTCAAGCTCTGGTCAACGCACGCGTTGGTGCTTGTCACGCAATTCGCCTCCCTCCTGCTTTCGTGAACTGCCCCGAAGGTGCCATCGATCCGATTTGTCTGCTTTGAGCTTCCTCTTCCAGGGCGGGGTCCCCCAAGAAGTGGAGAACCTGCTGCGCTCACAGCAGAGTTCTGCTAAGGGCTCACAGGTGCGGGCTGCGAGCTGTCTGCGTTCCAGTAGCTAGAAGAGTCTAGAACGCAGCACGACACACAGCATTGAGCCTACAAAGAGCGAAAGGTTCCCCGTTGCGAGTTTGTGTTCTGGAGTCCGAATCTGTTCAGCTCCCTACTTCATCGGCAGGTGCTCTTCGGACCAGGATTGGCAACAATGGTCCTTGATATCTTGGAGAACCTTGGCCATGGCCCATGGTGCTTTTCAGGCTCTGCTTTCTTAGGCGCTTTGTTAGGCTTAAGGCCCTTCTTGAGACTTCTCGCGCCTCTGCGTCTCTTTCAGCAGGTGGCCTCTCTTTGTGTTGTTTCCTCCTGTGGGGGGCGAACGTATGAGGAAGCAACTTCACGCGGCCTTGTCGACCACCGCGCAGCGACGAGAGCACCTCGATCAGTGGCATCACTCCTTCGAGATGGCTCGTGCCACGCTGAGCGGGCGGCTGAAGTTGTCCGTCACGCAGCTGTCAAAGCCACTCTGCCGGGATGGTGCGTTCGCGTGTGCTGTCTGGGGTCACTCAGACAGGTCCTGTAGTCAGTCTTGCGATCGGTGCATCCGGTGCCAGCTCAGCTCAGGCTGCACCATCTGGCCTTCTTCAGCAACCTGATCCCATGCTTCATGGATTCGGGCTTGGATGTCTTGCAGAAGCTCCTCGAAGAGGGCCCGGACCGGCGGCTACAACGAAGGTGTTTGGCCATCCTGGCTGAGTTGTGCGGGGCGGGTCGACTGGACTTGGAGAGTGCAAGGTTTGCCCTTCAGCAAGTCCTGGACGGCATGTTCTGGCCCATCAAGAGGCAAGGGCAAGCTGCGCAAGATACGCGCCTCTTCCAGGAGTGCCTTGACCTGGCTTTGGACATTGCGGATAGCCAGGGCATTTTTGCTGGTTGCTATGAGCTCATTACTCCTGCACTGGCTGCCTCAGCCATCCAGCAGCTACTGGAGATCATCGACTCACACCCGACCAGGAAGTCGGAGATGCTACAACTTCTGAGCCGGGAGTTCTCTCAGAAGGTAAGAGGGCACCCTTGTGCCAGCCAGCCTCTCACTGCCATCACCGCTTGGGTGGAGTGGTCAGGTGATGCCAGCGGCACGAGCTCCTTGCCATTCCTGCTCTACTCCGCGTTTCGCACCGAGGTCGGCCGGAGGCTGCTGGAGCTTCACGATGAGAACGGCTCTTACAAGGTGCATGCAGTCGAAGAGCTCCATAGAGAGCAGGGCTTGCACCACCAAGATGGCGCCGTCTTCGCCGCTGTACGACGGGCCGCGCGGCACCATCTGCTGATAGAGGCCGTTGCGGATCGAGTCGCCCGCAGGCAGATGACTGCTGCAGAAGCCAGGCGAATGTTGGACTACCTGGGCGGTGCAAGCGCAGAGGATCCAGATCCGGCAAGCCTGCTCTTCTTCCACTCTTTGGTGCTGCATGCGGGCTCCATGGCGGCTGCAGGCAAGGCTCTTGAGGTTCTGTTGCAGACGTCCGGGTGCGGCGAGGGCAGTGTCCTTCGCGCATGGGCTGCAGCACTTGCCAAGCCGGAGAACGCAGCAGCAGGCCCGGGGACAGTCCGTTCTCAATGAGCTTTGTGACATTGTTGTGGTCAAAAGACGTATACCGCTCTAGTCGATTGCAGACCCGAAGCACTGCAACTAGGAATTTAGTCGCACATGTGGTAGCTTCAAGCGCATGGGAGAGGTCCTGGCGAGGATCCATGGCAAGACCTGCCTGCTTCTGGCATGCCTGGCTCTGGGCTCAGGAGTCCGAGTGGCGTAATGCCATGTGCTGCTAGTGACACATCGAAGCATGCTGCAAGCTGGAGCCACCTGGAGCCCAGATTTTCAGGAAGTCAAAAGTTTTTTTTGTTTGCCCAGCCCAGGCTTCGAAGGGGAGCAGGCTCGGCGGCAGCGAGAGCAGCAGAACCAGGAGCGGGCCACCCTCCAAACTGCAAGGGGCGCAAACATGAGATGCTGCCCACGATGCGGCAACCCCATCGAGAAGAACGCAGGATGTGAGCAGATGACTTGTGGCGCGCATGCGCATCAACAAGTCACTCACCAGCATGGTTGTGGTCTTGAGTTTCACTGGAACCAGGCCCGCCCGTACCAACCACACCTGGCGGATGCGAGGCAACCGCCAGGCTATTCGGCCATCCTCACGTGGGTCGCGCAAGAACAGGACTGTGCACGGACCACGGTAGGCACTTCTAAAGTGTAAGAACCCAATCATGAGGCCTAAAGTCCTAGAGCCTCAATTCACAGTTACACGCAATGCTAGTGCCCTGAATGCCCAGTGAACAGGACTACTCATCGGCCCAGGCGGCAGAGGCCGCGGAGGCCGCCCTGCATGGCCTCTCCATGGAGGACCGGCGCTACGCCATCGCCAACGCCTGCGCCTGCACCTTCTTGAAGAGGGACCAGAGCCAAGAAGAGTTGGCCAAGGTCTCGCTCTTTGAACACCCTAACTTTTTTTTTTTTTCTCTCTCTCTCTCTCTCTTTCTCTCTCTCTCTATTTGTTTTTCCCTTTCTCTCTCGCTCTCTGATTATTATACGCATTTATACGCCCAATCCTGCTCCCTTCCTCTTCCACCACCGAGGCCTAGTGAGCCCTACACAAGTCACCTAAAAAGCACCCCCCCTACCCCCGCCCCCAAGCCTTGAAACGAGTGGCGCAGGCTCTCCTCGCGGAGCCCCCGGTCCCACTGCGAGCGGCCCTGGGCTTGCAGGATGCCAAGCTGGCCACCTGGCAGAAGACCCAAGATGAACCCTAAAAGGGCTTATGAAGACCCAATGAAACCCTTAAAGGGTTTATGGTTCAAAATGGCTCATAACATACCTGAATGGGAATGTTGTAGTAGCATAGGCATAGGGTATATAGGGCCCCCAATTTTTCCCAACGCTTTTCTCCCTTTCCTCCAGCCAGCGCAGCAGCCCTTCGACCGAGGCCGCCATTGTCGCCATGCTGTGCGACACAAGACCCTTGAACCAGGACAGGCTAGTAGACCCTAGAACCCCTTAAAAAGGCCCTTTACAGGGTTGACTATGGGGATTATAGGGCCTAATAGCCCATCCTGGAAGGAGACTTCGCGCAGTCTCGTTGCGGCCGTCCTCTTGGGGCAAGACGACTGGGATGTGGCGGCGGCAGGGGATGCGAGGAACCGCGCACAGAGACTGCGGCATGCCGTGGTGAACCTCTTGGTGGCGGTCCTGGGGACGCCCAACAACAATCACCTCCTGATGCTCTTGCTTGAGCCCCGGGCCATGTTGAACAGCTACCCCGTGGGGTTCGTGTATGGTCTGTGCCCGGGTCCTGAGGGCTACCATTTCGACTGTGGCTGCGTGCTTGACGACCACGGGCACGCGATCAGAAATCGGCCGCCCCTGCGAAACGACCACTTACACTGGGTGAACTTCTGTAGCTGGGCCATGCTTTCGGTTGGCCTCCTGGTCTTCCCAGATAGCTGCGACAGCATTGATGAAGTTCTGACAAACCGCTATGTCGGAGAGGTGGACCCTAGAAACTTAAGGGGAGGTGCATCGCGGGCCGACATGGCTCGGAGCTTCGCCATGAACTACGCCATGCGCTGCTTCGAGTGCGTCTGCTCTCGGCAGGGGTTGACTGAGGAGGACCGCTCCTTGGCGTTCGCGCGGCTCTTCCATGACTTCCGCACTCGAGCAGTTGCAGGGCCCGTGGAGTTCAACCGCACCTTTTCTACCGCCGAAGCCCGACAAGCTTACGAGGAGATCTGGCGAGACATGGTTGACGCGGTGGTCACGTCACTTCCAGATCTCAGGCGTGAAGCCCTGCAGGTCTCCAAGGCACAAGCTTGCAACACCTATCCTCTCATGTTCCCCTGAACCCCAAGCCTCCTAACCCTAAACCCTAAACCCTAAAATCTAACCCCTAAACCCCAAGTCTCCTAACCCTAGACCCCAAACCCTAAACCCGAAACCCCAAGTCTCCAAGGCACAAGGCCAGCTGGTGAGGTTGCAGGATTTCCGGGCATCCTTGAGCTACCTGTACAAGTTCTTCCATTCCTTCCAAGCCTGTGCTTTGGCACTGCCCTGGGAGCCGGAGTTCGCATTTGTGGCTGCCATCGCGAACCGCCGCGAAGAGCTTGCTCATCTACCCTTGCTCGGCCACTTCGTGCAGATCCAGAACTGGATCTTCGATCGCCTCAATGGAGTCCTTCCGGCCAAATGCCTGGACTGCAGCTCAGTTGTCACCCAAAAAGCTCCACTACTGGGGGCCTCAGCCATGTGCGTACTTAGCAATTCAGCTCATGGCAGCATCTGCGTGAGGCAAGACCGACGTTTCACATGAAAAATCAGGTATGGGCGTAAGTTCATAGCTCTTTGTCTACGCTGAGGATCGGCCGCTGCTCGAACTGCTTCTTCTGCGCCAGCAGACAGATGACAGAATGGAATCCCGCAGCAACGCGCGACATTGCCAATCCATTCGACACTCCTTTGATTGCTTCGTGCAGGGTTGGAAGCAGTTTCATGAAGCCAATCACGGCCAAATTCCCATCGAATGCCAGGCAGGGCGGGCGGCTATTGGCCTGGAGGCTGAGCAAACAAGGCTGGCCACGATTCAGGGCGATGGGAAAGAGTTGCCCTTGAGGTTCTTCCTGAGCGATGCAGATGCGAAGGGCCAGCCACAACTGGTGGCGGAGTATTTGTGCAGGATCTGGAACGAGGTGGTTGATGCAGCCATCAAAGCGCTGAGCCACATGCAGAAGGGCCACACAGCGAACTGGGCCGCCCAGATGCGGAGAGCGGCGCCGGTGTGGTTGGCGGACCTCTTCTTCCAGGCACGGTCTGTTCAGAGATATCTGTGTCGACAAGACCCCAATGCTGAATCTAGGGTCACAAGGCCTCACAACAGGGCCCTGGAAGATCACTTTAGAAAAGAAAAAAGAGACGGCTGAAAGAAGCGAAGTGAGCAACGCTCTCCAGGAGCAGTTGGTGGACGCCCTCACCAGCCAAGCCGTGGAGCGGGCTGTGCGGCGGAACCTCCGTGGTGCGGGAACCCTGGCACCAAGGACCCCCAGATGTCTGAAGCGAAGCCAACTTTCTGTAAAGTGGCTGGTGTAAAGTAGGTCCAGAGTCCTATGAGGCCTGCTAGGGTTTTCAACGAGGGCCTTTGTGAGACATCTTCTGGCTTTTGAGTGTGACTGGCCAGGATCGATTGGCAGGCAGCCCAGTTGGAGATCCTCAGCACTTCCTGGATCCACCGCATTCAGAAGCTGGAGTTCCCCGAGCTGCCGGAGTTCCGGACAAAACAAGCCCGGCCAGAGGCAGGAGCGACGCAGCAGGCCCTCAGCGATGCAAAGAGGGAGGAGCTCTTGGACAAGTTGGCCCGAATGCAGCTTATCGAGCTACAGACCTGCAGGGAGGCCGTTGCTCGGATCCTCTCGCAGCTCAGCTCCCCGCCTGCGTAGGAGTTCTCCTTTTGGCCTCCTTTTAGGCCATTTTCGCCTTGCCTCTCCTGTAAAGTACCTAGAGCTTTGCTCTCAGCGTCTCAGCGTTAGCATGGACACCTCAGTGCGCTTGTGATCCTGGAGCTGAGGTGCCCCAGGCGCGCCCCAGGCGGCTGCAGTCTTAGAGCTCGAGGAGGTTGCAGCGCAAGTGTCGCACCTGCCGGCCGCCATGGAGATTTTGGAGGGTGTTTCGACTGCCGCGCTTCCACAGCTCCTGCAGCTCCTCAAGGAGGAGAACGGGGAATTCAGTGGCTTCTCCTCGGTTCTGAAGGAGCCACCCCCAGTCGACTTGCAAGCGGCTCTGTGCAAGGGCTGGCCACGCCCGGCATCCTTGAAGAATGCCACAGACCTGGCAAAGAGAGATGAAGTTCTCAGAGAGACGATCACTGAGCTGGAGGAGGAAAACTTCGTGAACCACGTGATCAGCCAGGATACGACGCCTCTCCGAAAGCTCTACGCGGAGGCGCAGCTGTCTGACGTGCCATATAGCAATCCGCTTCATGGGCTCCCTGATGGCATTCATGGTCGGCACCTGGTTGCTGTGCTGCAAGCACTTCGCTTCATGCTTCGGGAGGTGCGTGCCAAAAAGGCTGAGCTGGATCGAGGCACGGTATGGAATCCAAGAGACGGCTTGAAACCTTTGCCGGGTTGGATCATGGATCACATGGACCAAGTGAAGGCCGAGGCAGCCCGGAACGCACACGACTCCCACTCGAGCGACTCGCATTCTGCAGAGGAGAAGGAGGCTTGGTGGGATGGCAAGCCAGACCACATCCCAGACGGATCGGCGCTACCCTCCATCCTCACGAGCGCCGATGTGGATGTGATTGGGTTTGTGTGGTGGGCATGCCAAGCAAACCTGGATGTCCCGGAGCATGTGAAGCGCTTCCTATCCAATACGTCCATCAGCCAGGTCTTGCAGCGTGCGGGCTTCCACGTGGACTCCATCCAAGAAGGGAGAAACCTTCAGGGCAGCGATGCCAAGCAGGAAGAGTGTCTCAATAAGTTCCTGGATATGCCGCCCGTCTGCAGACATGCAGTAACATCTTTCGTGAAGGACCCTAAACCCTAAACCCTCAACCCTAAACCCTAAACCCTCAACCCTAAACCCTATAAACCCTAAACCCTCAACCCCCCAAAAAATTTTTCCGAGGTACGAGGCGCAGCTCGCTGCCTGTCCCCGCGACACAAGCACAGCTTGGCAGAGACCCCTCTCCGCCGTCACGCTGATCCCCTTGGAGTCCTTGCTCAACTGCCAGGCCCGCACCGTTCCTGAGGGTTTCGGGTTTAGGGTTTAGGGTTCAGGGTTTAGGGTTTATAGGGTTTGGGGTTTAGGGTGTGCCGCCCAGGATTTAAGGGTGGTGAGTGCCGAAGAGTTGAGGGTTCAGACCTCGTAGGGTGAGTTCTCTATGTTCGGGTGCCTGCCTTCGCTTCTTCTCGAAGCGAGATAGTATTTAGGGTAATTCAGGATCAAACGGAGTCACTGTTTCAGTTAAGTTAAGGCTTATCTAGATGCTGGCGTGATGAGTCCATTTTCATTCGTACAGTTTGCACGGTCTGATGCCTTCATGTTGTGAGGCAGTCGGAACTTCGAGCTAAACACTGAACTCTACGGCCCCATACTCTGTTGTATGCACCCTGAGGAGTCGATCGACCCCGAAGCCGTGAGCAGTGAGCTGTGGAAGGTCACCGCCGAACGGTTCGGCTCTGCAGGCGACTTCTTGGGTTCTCGGGAATCCTTCCCCGGAGTCTTTTTTTTTTGCAGCTCTAGGCCCGATATATATATCTATATATATATATATATATATGTATGTGTATATTTATATACATGTAGCGAGACAGACAGAGACAGAGACTGATCAGAGACTCAGACAGAGGCAGAGACAGAGATAAAGACGGAGAACGCCAGGCGAGTGCGTGCTGAAGCAAGTTTGGCAGCGCTTCGTCGAACGCTTTGGGAGGGTTTGCAGCGCTGACCTGGAGCGCGCGGTGGGCGGCGTCCTCGAGGAGGCAGTGGAGGGCCTCTTTCGGGATGCGTGTTGACTTCCTGGAATTCTGAACCGTGCAAGTAAGTCCTTAAGTCCTTGGGTGTATAGTCTGTTTAGGACATTCGGGTACACGGACTCAATGGAATGGAATGTTCTCAAACAAGCAGAGCTTTCACGCCCAAGATTTCCTCCAGGAGATGCCCGCGATCCTGCAAGTGCCCAGGGAGGCCGAGACCGCAGCGGTTGCCGGCCGCAGCGTCCTGCTCAAGCATCGAGGCCAATACTTCCGGGTGCTGTCTACGCAGGAAGGCCGAGCTCTGGCAACCCTAAACCCTAAACCCTAAACCCTAAACCCTAAACCCGTTTGTAGCGCTTGGGCACAGCAGCCTCTGATCGTATTGAGGGACCCTTTCTGTGACCCTTCAGGCGATTGTCGACCGGATCCACGCGCGAGCTCGGCTGCCTCGTTGATTCAGAGGTCCTGGCGCCGTCATGCGGCCCGCCAGGCTTTGGCCCTGGCGCAGAAACCTCTCCGAGATTCTCTCCGAGATTCCGAGGAGCACTCAGACCCCTTGCCATCTGAGGTGGCGTTGCAAAGGGTTTGGGAACTGCAAGGTTTAGGTGGGCAGCTAGGAAACCTTGTCTGGTCAGTCACGTGGGACTTGCTTGGGTTCGAGCATATTCGCTGCCAGGGCACTCCTGCTGGCAATGAGACTGGCGAGACCGCGGCTGTGGAGAACGAGAGCTGCCCCGATCCGAATATCGGCACTATCGGCATGTCCACACACACGGCACACAATGCAGAAGCCGGTCTTCCTACAGCTCTTCCCACGCTGCGCTTGCGCTCTGCCTGCTCAGCGGAGGGGCCTGATTCTCAGGAGAAGCTGGTTGACCAACATGCCGTAACCTTGGATACAGACAAGGACGACCTGCAAAGTCTACAAAGCTTTGCCCCGAGTCTTCCCAGCATGGTCTCCGAGTGGCAAGTCGTTGATGATCGGCAGCGGCTAGAGCGCTTCCTGCTTCCGGCAGAAGATGTCGGGTCCTGGAGGACATACGAGGTCCTACCGGATTGGGCGGGTGCTGAGAAATGCTTACCCAGCTTCGAGAAGGCCATGCAGACCTGGCTTCCGGAGAAAACCAAGGACAAGTTGACAAAGTCTGTGAGCAAAGACACTTAGGCTTGGACTGAGCTTGCTGAGCTTACCTCTTTCCCCAGTACGTACTACCTTTTTCCTGAGTCTCCCCGACGTGCCATGAGCCGAAACCCTATAGCCCTGAGCGGCTTTCAGCAAACTCTCAGCACTGGGTGAGACTGGGACACACTGGTCCAAGCTAGCTTCTTGGGAACCATCGTCGTGAAACAGCTGAGGAATGCCAAAGGATAGCCATCTCCATCAAGGCGCGTGCAACCGCGCAAGGGTCTGCCCGAAGCTGTGGCAGGGCTTCACTCATGCTGTGCTCAAGCCAAGCATCGTACAGATAGGCTGCTTTGTGGCTCCAGCCTCTCTATGCCAGGACAAGTACGGCAAAACGGCACCCTCCAATCTGTCGAACGGCGAACTTTTTGTGCTTGTGGCGTACGCGCTCGACGTGCGGAAGAAAGATTCAAATGCCAACTGGGACATGAACTTTTCTTCTCGACTGTCGAGGGTGGCCCGGCACCATCCTGGCAGCGATGACCCGATGTCCGTCTGCCTCGGCAACTTCAGCGGGGCTTTGGAAAAGCGCCTGACGAAGGAGCCCCAAACCCTCTACTGACTCTTGTCTGCAGCTACATTTGTTTTTGACAGCTCACTCCTATGCAGCCTCTGCAAGTGTGCTTTCGCTGCATCCTGGCACTTCAAGGCGGACTGACTCCAGAAGCGCTCCAAGCGCTCCGAGAGCAAGGCCTGAAGCAGGGCGACGTGGCGGGCTCCTCAGTCTCCATGTCCTGCTCTCGCTGCGCAGACTAGTAAGCATCATGGCAAAGTAGAGGGTGGGCAAGGGTTGTGGGTTGTGGTTGAGGGTGAAAGAACATTGTGCCAGTGGTAGGTGCTTGGGCACATGCGCCTTGCACTGGAGCGCTCCTCACACTAGGTGCACCCTGCAACACAGGGGAAACAAACGACCCAACCATGCTCATCCCAGAGCTTTGCTTTACCTTAGTGGCCTTGACCCTGGTGCTCCGAGAGTTCCCCCCTCAACCCTAAACCCTAAACCCTAAACCCTAAACCCTAAACTCTAAGCCCTAAGCCCTAAGCCCTAAACCCTAAACCCTAAACCCTTGCTCATGCCCAGGTCTACTGGCCTTGCTTCAGCAGCTTCACGCCGAGCCCCGACATCGCAGCCCTTGCCGCCGGTGCCGAGGGGGCTTTAGTGCGGCTGACCGCCGTGGCCAGCGACCTCTCCGAATCCTGGTTGGCATCAGAGCTGTGATGGCCTCCCAAGGTCCTAAGGGAAAGGTTACAGATGCCAGCACTCACATGAATGCGAGCAAGGTGAAACGGGTCACGTGTCGAGTACTCCCCGCCCTCCCCGGGCCTCCACCACCCTTTTGTCTTCACGGAGGAGCTCAGGGGCTCCCCAAGATGATTCTCGAAAAAGGGTGGAGGTTTGGGCAGGAGCCGAAATTCGCCCCACCCCCTTTTCGTTCATGTTGGAGGTTGTTCATGGAGGACATTTCTGGGACGCTCCTCGTCCTGACTCAGATTCGAGGGCGCCTGCGCGAAGGTCGCCTGGGGGGTCAGCAGGGCACCACTTGGGACTCCCTAGGCCCGGGCACCAAAGTCCCAACTTCGACTCACTGCAGACAAACCTTCAAAGCTCCTTGTAGTGGCTTTTCGGGGCCGGTCGGGGTGGTCGACGCCCGGCGTGTACAATTTCGCAAGACTGCGACGCACTGCGAACTGTGAACTAGACACTGGGGCCCACTGAGGGTAAGGTAATCTTGCGTGACGTGTGTCTAAACTCAGTCACAGCAAAAAGATGGACCAGGACATCGTGTAGTGTTGGGTTATGCTGTGTGGGTGCTCTGTCTTCGTAGCTGGGGAGTGCACGAGGGTCTGTGTGCTCTAATATAATCGAAGTACTCTGAGGAGTTTCGTGGAGCCTGCGGAGAGGAAGGCCGAATCACGAATTGGCTGTTTTCTCTGAAGCCCCAGGGTGCATGAAACTATCCCCAAATGGATGTCGCTGGATGCTTGGAACAATGGCTTCAGTGTGAGATCTTACGACTTGCGTCGATCCGCGTGTCAGGTGGGGAGTTTGTCCTGCAGCCAAACTGCCGCTTGAGCGTGGTTGGCGCTGCCATTCCAGGCCCACAGCGCATGAAGCAGACACAGTAGCTGCGGCAAGTGTGCGTACGGAGAACTATATAAGAACCTCATGACAACCCGTTGCGCGGTATGTGTTCCCATGATGCGTCTCACGCCTACACCGGTGCAGGGTGTGGGTTTAGGGGTTAGGGTTCCCCTCCAGGTCAACTTGCAGATGATGTCCCTGCGCAGTTTGTGGCATTGGAACTGGTGGAAGCCAACACTGACGATGAGGATGACTTCTAGTAGGGGCTGTTGCAAAGCTCCAGTTTCTGCGCTCTTGGTTTAGGGATGTTGAATTGAGACTTATCCTGCATTAGCTGTACAAGTAGCATGAGACCAAGGAAGGCTTTGCCTTTTAGGGTGGTTGGCCGTAGCATCGCCGGAGCAGCAGAAAGAATTCAGAATGTCTGCCGACCATTTGCTTGATGCAGTTGCAAGTGGTCGGTTGATTTACTTCGTTCCCGAAAGCGTTGGAAGTTCTCTTAAGGCTCTTTTAACTTCGCATCTCACTAGCGGAAAATGCTCTTGGGGAGCGCGGCGTGCGCAGTGCGAAAGTCGTCGCCTTCGGCCACTCGAAGCTCAAAAGGGCCAACCCTCTTGGCGGGCGCAGTGTGTCGCAATCGCCATCCTTGAACTGCCGTCGTTTTCTGCATCGTCGTATTCATCGGAATTGTCTTGGACTTAGGAAGCTCGAAAGTGGCAACCTCTCGCAATTTATGAGAGCGAGCGTCGTCGTCTCTGCCATCTGTCGTTTTATGTCGTGCATTCATGTACAGTCATGTGTGCTCGCGGTGTCTTTGTCGTCGTCGTTGGCCCTCCTACCGCCGGGGTTTTGTGTCGACATCCTCGTATCTCGTCCTTTGTGGACCCCCGCATCCGCATCTTCATCGCCTACAAATTCCTGCATTTAGATGATGATGGTGGCGGTGATGCTGCCGATGATGATGGTGATGGTGATGCCGGTGGTGATGATGATGATGACATATTAATACTGATGACGACAACGACGATCACGATGCCCATGGTGAATGTGCTGTTCAAAACACTTTCGTGCTGTTCAAAACACTTTCGGGACATGCGTTGTCTAGCTCAAGCCGAGGTGGCAGCACTGTAGCGCACCTGTCCTGCTGCACTGCCACATCTGCGTAGCCAGCCTTGCAAAGCTCGCCAGGTCCGCTGTACAATCTTGTACAATTTAGTGTCCCAGCGGTCTCTCACTCACAGAGATGGCAGGCGGCCAATTGTTCTCCGTTCTTTAGTTATGAGTTGCTTTAGTTATGGGCAGCCACAAGTGCAGACACAGTGCGTTGTGTGCGCTGGAAAATGCTGGAAAGAAAAGGTTATGCTGACACAGTCCACTGATCGTCCGGAAAAGGGCATGGTTGAGTAGCCGATGAGCCCAGGTGATGCCCTGACACCCACGTCGACAACCTTTGATCGAACAGAGAAAAAAAGGGCAAGGAGCTCTTGTGATGAAGTCTCCATTCGTCTTGCTCGCTTACTTCCGAAGCCCTTAGAGCATGTACATCTCTGTGTGTGATGGGTTCGTGGCCTGAGCAGGTGGTGGCTCGTGTAGGCTTAGGTGGCTCGTGTAGGCTTAGGAACATACCATGTGGCACAAACAGGACCCCTCAGGCATTCTCAGGCTATGCTGCGTAGAGCGAAGCAGCTGCATGTGGTCAAGTTGACACGGGCCTTGGTGAGCCGAAGCCATGCCTCATCATCCTGCAGCTTGCATTCCCTGGTGGCAGCTTCCTGAGATTCTGAGCATGAGAGTTCCGGTTCTTGTCACGGTTTAGCTCAGGGTGGTGGGCCATGCAAGTTGGGGAAAGCCACGTAGGACTTGCAATGTCTCCAAACCAACACCTGCTCGCTCAAATCTTGCGAAAGTACTGCTGCCGCGCCACGAGACATGATCAGCAATGGCGCGACCCGGAAGAGTCGCAATACTGTAGCCGCATGTAGATTCTTGAGGTACAACGAGACCACCGGATATGCAGGGTGCCCCTACGGCAGGCCGCTTCAGAGAGGGTTTTTTTTTTGCCTTGGGTGGCACGATTCGAATCGCACTGACGCATCAGCTCAGACGTGACCTTGCGAGACGCTTGCCTGGGGATGTCACGCTGCCTGACGACCCCTCCGCCATGGATTGGGCGGGCGTGGTTTACAGCCCGGATCTGAGACTGTCATATGCCATACATGCCCACAAGCCAGTCCTTTGAGTCCTTTGAGCCCCTGATACTTCTCTGCGACACCTATATTTCCTAAGCCGCAACAAGAAGCCAGCAGTCTGCATAAGGAGCCCACAGTCGCATCGCTACAAGCGAAAGAAGTGAAGCGGGCAAATTTCCTGACCTCTCATGCGTTCCTTTGGCCTAGGAGCGAATTGTCAACTGGTGGTGCATGAATCACTCTATTTAATGTTTTGAATTTTGAACTATACACGGAAAACACGTGTACAATTTTGTCGCTAGCGCAACAAGCCGCACTAAACCGTCACCCCAGGCCCAGAGTTCATGGCTTACAGGGGGTTTTCCTGTTTGTGTCAAAGCGTGTCAAGTGGTCACCTCTCTGAATGCTCATGCTGATGGCAGGGATCCGAACGGGACATAGGTGGGCAGGGCTTGGAACCTGACCTGGCAGGCTACATCCCCTTTGTTGTGCCAATTGCTGTCGCCGCAGAATTACTGGTCACTCGAGGTGAGGGCCCGGATTGCCAAAGCAGAAGCTCAGTGAACGTGATGAACCTGCAACACCGGTCGAAGATGCCAGGAACGCGGCAGCTGTCTGTCCTGCTCTTCACTGGCACGACCACCTTGGCTAATGTGGCAACCTCAGCTTCTCTTTCAAGTTCCCACAAAGCTTTTCCATGGGCTGATGCTGAGGAGTTCATCGTGAAGAAGCTCCGGGCTTGGCGAAGTGGTTCTAAGTGGTTCTGAGATTCTGAGTCCTGGAAACCGAGAGGCAAAAGGCTTCAACCATGAAAGGTAATGGCAGGATTTAGTTGAGGAAAGGCAAAAAGAGGCCGAAAAAACCGTGACATGGTATTGACCCACGAAAACCCTAATGCCCTAAACCCCTCAACACTGACTCTGAAACCTGGGTCCTCCTTTGTCGAGGTTAATGCAGCAGCCGCGGCCTGGAGCACTTGGCCCTGCCACTTTGACTGACTGGCATTTAAGGTCTACAATATATATAGTTTAGGGTTTAGGGTATATAATATAGGGTTTAGGGTATATAGGGTTTAGGGTGGATAGGGTTTAGGGAGTAGGGTTTAGTCTAGTCTAGTCTAGTCTAGGGTTTACAGAACACAGATCCTCAACAACCCTTGAAGAAAATATGTATTCCAGCGCAGACCCCAAACAGTGAGAGACCATACGAGTTCTGACATCCAAACGCGACGACAGTCTCGCGTTGAACCCAGACCTCCAGAAGCGGACAGTTTCGCATTTCGTGAACCCCGAAGGCAAAAAAGACAGAGTTTCGAGGACGGCGAGCGCGGGCACAACCGCGCTCAGGCGAGAGAGCGCAGGTAAACCCAAAACCCTTAAACCCGACACCCTTAACGGCTTGACGTCAAGTGGTCAGGCTTTCCCTACACAGCATCCATGAGCATGCCATGCATTCTAGCAAAGTCAGATTACCGATGTGATGAAAGATGCCGTTACGCCTTTTAAACTTTGGATACGTTTGAGGCCTCTGTTTGGAACGAAGTAGAAGATTTTCTTCCGGAACGCGACAGCCACTGAGGCGCCTGGTCTGCTTACCAACCCAGAAGGAGTGCATGTGGGCAGCTGCAACACGAGCTGCAGGGGGCCCCGGGCCTCCTGAAAACGGGCTGTTGCTTTATAGATCAGGGTCCTGTTTTCAGTCGGGTTCCCTTAGAAGGACCCATGGGCTGCGGGCCTAGTTCAGAACAGGCCTCCCTTCTGCAAAAACGCGGTGTGTGCTGGGCTTCTGAGCTGCTGCCCCGAGGTGGAATGCCTTCCTCGCACGCGACAATGGCTATAGGCGCGACTCTGCTCTCTTCCTTGAGAACCAAAAGGGTTTATGGTTCATATACCCTAATAAGGATTATGGTAGTACAGGGCATAAGGTCCCAATTTTAGGGTTCATTTGGTTCCCAAGGTTTTCCACCCAATTTGAGGCTATCACTAGTTGCGCCGTACTCGGTGAGATTGTTCTAGCCAGGCCAGGGAGGAAAGCCATTTTTGATTGCTTTGCTCCACTCGCCGCGCAGACAGAGAGACCGCAGGCTTTTTGATGCTGACGATGTTTGATGGCATCGTCCGCGTGATTCCCGACAGGGCCACCCTCTCCAAGGCTTGCCCGAGAAGCTGGCAACCGTAATGCTCGATTGGGGTCAGCTTTGCCTAATCTAGTTGGACGGGTGGTTTCGGTGCGCTTTTTGAGGTTGCAGCGGATTCCCCATAATTTGCGAGCGTCCGGCCTCCCAATTTTCGGGTGTCTTCGGATGCCTGATCAGGGTCCTTCAGAGCGGCATGTGGCTGATTGGCACAGGACAAACTGCGCGGCGAGTATCTTCAAATGTGGAAGATGGTCTCGGTCTCCACCTCAGTCAGCTGCTGCAGCACAACGGCGGCACCAGTACGGCACCTGACTCGCATGAAGCCATGTCCCCCCCCCCCCCCCCTCTGCTCTTTGCAAGTTGCAAGGTCACGCCGCTTTCTCCCAAGCCTGCCTGGGTCCCAGTTCCTATGAGGGCAGCCCTCAACCTGATGAGTGCCTTGGAGAGGTCATGTACACGCTGGAGTTCATGGGCTTCTTCTGCTCATGGATGATTTTGCTCTGCCCAGCCTTGTCCTTGGCTTCTCTGCGCCTGCATCAAGGGCTAGGGTTTTGGAACAAGCTCGGCCAACCAATGCCCTGGCGAGGTGCCACTGATGCGCGTTCAGCTGTACGACCATTCGGTCGTCCTGTCCGGTTTGCGACATTGTGTGACCATGCAGTGTGGAAGCTGGCTCAGTCCGCTCGCGGTAAAACTGTAGGGAAGCGCGACCATGTGGCTGGAGGGTAGATGGGGCTGCGGAAGTCTTGCCCTGGAGCCTTGGGACAAGACCGTGTCCCCAAGACTTTTGGTGCTTCTTCCGACAGAACCCAATCCCAAAGCTCCAAACCTTAAAGCCGCCACTTCCAAATCTCCAAGAGATGCCAGCTGCCAGGCGACGCAGGTTACCTTGGGGAGCCTGTGCAAAGCTTAGAAATTCTAATGTGAGGTACCTGAAGGCTGTGAAGCTCTTCTAGATTCTAGATTTTTCAATCCACACAGTGTGGGCAGATCAAGTGGTGCGCCCACCGTACATTCTGCATGCTTGCTGAGGCTGGGTGTCGCGGGGCACCCGGACACTCTCTGATTTCGGCTCCCCAGCTGAGCACGCCTAAGTGTAGTGGCAAACGTCGTCAGGTCTACGCAATGATTTGGTTCCAGTTTGCGCCGCCTGGTTGCATCTGTATGGGTGTGAGTGACGTGTGAGTTGCCAATGCCGCATCCTCGTTTTGACTGGCTGTGAGCTCACTCTGTTGGGAAACCCAGGAGAGTGATGGTTGACAAATACAGGGACTGGCCCGACTCTCGTTGTGATTGCTGCATCTCGAGCCTGGCTTCACCATCAGTTGGAGCGTTGAAGGTATGGCAAATGGATCTTCGGAGGCTGGCAGGGCATCATCCTTTTCGATTGGCCGGTTTCTTTTGTGTTTTCCTCATGTATACATTATTCAATCATTGACATATGCTAAATGTAATTAAAATGAAAATAAGTCATTTTGTATTACCCAATGTGCTGATTCTTCTTCTCTGCGGCGAGTTATACCACTGCTTCCCTGCTGTGTGTCACTCCTGAGAACAGGCCTCCTGAAGCACAACTACGGTCCCGTTGCCTATCGCGTCCTTGCGACCTGCTCAGTACGACGATAGCAGCAGATAGCAGCAGCGGAGTGTCTCGCGTGAAGTGGTGCTGCCTGCCTGGGGTGCGCAGCCATATGTTGCAGCACTTCTTGACTCTCACAGATGTGTCGGTGCAGCTACTTTCTTGCTCCCGACCCCCACTGATTCTTGCATAAGATTGTGAGGCTCGACCGCCGAGCAGGAATAATGAAGAAAGCGACGACGAAAGCAAGGAGAAGGACGACAGTTGGCAAGTGCTGCAGGCTGCGCAGCTTGAGGGGAAGACAGCCTTGGGAGTTCGGTATAGTTCAGTCGTCGGTGCATTCCGGTGCGTTCAGTGTTCTCACCGTAGGGTCGCTGGCATCACATAGTCCGTCTTTTGTCCGACGCCACCTCCAAAGCAGAGAAGCTACTGCCTTCAGCAAGATTCTGTCCGTGCCTGACATGGAGCACAGTTCGCTGCAAACATGTGGCCTTGCCTGACCAGTGGGATGCGAAGATCGAGCCCCTGAACCCCAGCAGTGGCAGCGAGGAGGACCGAATCGCATGCCAGCTCACAGTCTTCAATGTCTTCAAAAAACGTCTTCGGGTCTAAGTAGTGAAGCTGTCGGCTTGCCACACGTGTAGTAGTTTGGCAGGCGGACTGATGCACTACGGCAAAGGAGCTGAGATGCTTCAGATTTTCCGGGCACTTCCATGCCCTTGATTGCCTAAGTGTATCTGAGTGTGTCTGAGTGTGTAAGTCGCGTGTACATCTGGGCTTCAATCGGGGGCCCTCGCGTGCCATGTTCGTGATCAAATGCCGGTGCTTCTGCTTGTCTATGGTAGCCTTCGTGGGGCTCGCAGTGTAGTGTCGCACTACACCTACGGGCGAAAGCCCGTGGAACTCCAAACTCCTGCCACAAGCTTGTGGCCGGCAGATGCCAATGCCGATACTTTTAATCCTAGTAACAGTTCGCGTTGTGACATGCAAGGCAGTCAGACTTCGGCGTCAAAAAGGACACTTGGGGTCTGGCGTTCGGGCTTGTGACGCTTCGTAGGGTGTAGGTTTAGGGCTTGAGTCGCTTTAGGAGTTTGGGGATTAGGGTTCAGGGTCTTAGCTTTAGGAGCTTTTGGGGGTTTTAGGGTCTTGGAGCTTTAGGGTTTTTTGGGGGTATTCGGGCTTTTACGGGTTTTAGGGTTGCGGAGTTGATGGTTCGAGACTGCGCAAGGCGCAGGGGTTGGTGAATCCTTCGGCATGATTACCCCCTTGAGATTGCTCCACCCATGAAAGCTCTCGCAAGCTTCTGCACTGCAGCATTCTCCCAGTAGTTTATTCTGCCAGAAAGTGCTTGGCAGTATGACACACAGCACTGCAGCATCCCAGCGAAGTGCTTTATACTCATCACCTGGAGTTCATCACCTGCCAACCTCCACCTTGCGCTAAGGATTCAACAGTTTCATTGTCATGGAAGCAATAGCAGAGCAATGGCAACGCCGGTTTCAGTTCAGAAGAAAGATTGAAGGGTAATGACCGTAGCATCTAAGGGAGTAGTCGTGGTCTCACTGTCTCGGCAAGTTCAAGAAGTCCATCCTGGGGGGGGGGAAGCTGCAGGGAAACTGAATGGGCTCTTCAATCTCCGTCTGCTTCAGCCTCAAGGTGCCCACCTAATTAGTATCGTGAAGGAGCTGCGAGCCACTCTCAGCGCTGTTCCATGAATCGTCCGTGAGCAGAATGGACTCCACACTGCGATTTGAGGAGGTTGACCAGTTCTTGGCTGATCCGGATCCAACTGTACGGCTTAGGACCTTGAATCTTCTGCAGGAGCAGTGGCCAAGCGAGCTGCTGGCTCATCATCAGGAGAAGGTGACCCCACTTGTGGCGGATCCAAGACGGGAGGTGAGTTCAAAGGCGCTGAGCTTGTTGCAGGAGCTGATGCCGAGCGATCGGATTCTACAGCACTTGCACACGTTCTTCCCGTGGCTGAAGAGCGCAGATCCGTGGGTGAAGACTTCAACCCGGCGCCTATTCGAGAAGAAGATTTCCGGAGACGTCCTCTCGCAGCACTTTCAAATGATCGTGCCGGTGCTGCTGGCAGACCCGCAGCTGCAGTTGTGGTCCTTTGGCCTTCTGAGGGGAAAGGTCTCATCAGAGCAGCTCACAGGGCATCTGGATCTGATCATGGACCACATGGCTCATCATGATTGGGGGGTGAAGAGGCGGACCCTCGAGTTCATCCAAGAAGAGATGCCCAGGGAAATGGGCGCAGATCAGTGCCAGCAGATCGCGCCGCTCCTGGTGCATGATGACTGGGAGGTGAGAAGTTGGACCTTAACTCTGCTGAGTGAGCGGCTGCCGAGTGAGCTGCTGGCTCAGCTTGCGGAGAAGGTGATAGCACTTGCTGGTGATCCTAGATGGGAGGTCCAGCAGCAAGCAGTGGATCTCTTGGAGAAGAAAATGCCCATGGAACTGATCATCAAGCACTTTCAGAATCTCCTCGCACGTTTGCAGCAGGCAGACCCACGAATTAGGAAGTCCAGCTTGCGCGTCTTCGAGAAGAGGATCTCGAACGCAATTCTCGCTGAGCACTTTGAGAAGCTTGTGCCACTGCTTTTGTCTGATCCAGAGCTGCAGTTGTGGGCGCTCAAGTTTCTGAAGGGGAGGGTTTCACCAAAGCACCTGCCAGAGCTCATCGATCTGATCATGCTGCACCTCGTCAGCCACAAGACGTGGAAGAAGCAAAAGGCATTGGAGCTAATGAAAGTGCACCTGCCAGATGAACTGAGGGCGTGTCACATCGACAGGATTGAGAAGCTCCTGGTGGATACAGACTGCAAGGTGAGGATATGGACGTTGGAGCTCCTAGACCAGCGCATGCCAGGCAAGCTGCTCGTTCAGCATTGGAAGACACTCTGGCCACTCTTAGATGATGAAAGCCACAAGGTGCAGATGGCAGCAGCAAAGCTCTTCATAGAGAAAGGGTCCGGTCTCCGAAGGGAGCATGTTGCCGAGCACTGCGAGCAGTTCGCAGCACTTCTGGCCAAGACTGGCCAGATTGAGAGCGTCGAAAGTGCTTTCCAAGACATCCTGAGCCCCAGCCCCACGAAGGACAAGGTGGCGCGACTCCTTTCCAAACTGCCAGTCTCCTCCTTCGTCGCCCAACACATGGAGCAGATCGCCAGCTGGCAGGATCAGAGTGGCAACACCTGGCTGCACCTGGCAGCTGCAAAAGGCCACCTTGAGGCCTGCAAGGCCCTGGTGGACACAGCGGGCCTCGCGTTACGCGCCCTGAACGATGCTGGCGAGGAGCCCCTCTCATTGGCGGCCACGCGTGAAGTGGATCGTTTCCTGAGAAGCAGGATGCACTTCCAGGAAACCCGCTTCGGCCACGGGAATGCCTACCACGACATGGTCAAGGACGAGAGGTGGGTGTCCGAGGTCGTGTGGTACACAGTGCCCCTCCCCGGCATGGCTGGGCACTTGGGCGGCATGCACTCCTTCCTCGTCATCACCGTCTCCGATGCGGACCTAACGGCAGCGAAAAGATACGTGCTCGAGAAGGCCGGATCCGCTGCCAGGGAGGCCCATCAGAAGAACGGCGTCTTCGTCGGAACCCAAGGTCTAGAAACCAACTTGCGCAGTGTGCCAGGGGTTCAGGCCTACAAGAACCTCGCCAAAGGAAATCTGCAGAAGGAGCTCAAGGTCAGGAAGCTGTACTTGGAAGCTCACTGCACAGGGCAATATGATCTTGCATCTTCGAATTGCCACCACGCGGCCCAGAGGGTCTTCAACTTCTGCTGCATCAGACATGAAGACCGAGAAGTGGAGCCTCCAAACAGCTGGTTGGCGAAGTTAGGGGCCACATTTCAGCTGACCGGCCTTTTCAACTCAAGCCGCTCAAGCTCAGAAGGCTCCGGTTCAAGAGTGGGGTCGGCTGAATCTCAAGTGGCCTCTACGAGCCGCCCAGTGGATACCCCCAGTGGCTTCACAGCAGCCGTTGATCTGGGCTCCGATGCCTTCTCTGAGATCGCCGCTGCCCTAAGCCATGCTGTGTATGAAGAGGAAACTTCCGGCCTGTTGAAGCCACTGGAGGCAGAAATTGCCGTCATCCACAACAAGTTGGGAAAGGCGGTGGTCGTGTACGACCAGGCCACTGGGAGCAGACACAGAGTCGACCCAGACGAGAGGAAGAGCATCAGCATACCAAAAGAGAGGGCCACCGTAGATGTTTATGCAGTGGCGTGGGTTCCAGGACTCTACACCCACCGGGTTTTGGCCCGAAAGCAACCAATCTGGGGGGGTCATATCTACAGTTTAACCATGGACTTTCGAAGTGTGGTTGTATTGCAAGAGGTGATGCCGTGCGCGTGCGTCAGCAAGGTCACTTCATGCTACGTGGAAGCAAACCAGCCAAAGTCCGGTGCAGTGGCTCCTTGCGCGATCAGGCACTGCGATCTTTGCGAGCTTCCGGGGAACCGATGATGTGCAAGATGCTGCGATTGACCTCAGCGCTGTGCCAGACACTGTCAGGTTTAAGGAGCATTGCATAGGTGTGCATGGTGGGATGGCCCATGCTCTGGAGCAGGACGGAGATGAAGTTAGCAACGTGGTGAATGATGTTCTTGGTGCTTTGAAGCAGCACCATCGAGTTGGAGAGCAGCTGGTCCTTTGCGGACATTCGCTAGGTGGAGGCTACGCGCAAATCATGGCCCTCCACTTGTTGAGTCGGAAGCTGAGTGTCTCGGCTGTACGCACCTTCGGCGCGCCACATGTCCTGGTCCCGCCGAAGAACCGATCATCCCAGATGTGGCAGAAGTTACATGCCATCACTCAACACTGGGTGCATGACTGGGACCCTGTCCCAAGACTTCCCCTCTGCCAAGACTGGCTGCTCGGTGTT